TTACCTGATGTCATTGCTACTTTGAAGGCTTTACAGCAGGAAATTTATTTTGCTTGAACTCTACATTTTCACTACTTTCCAATACCGCAATTCAGACCTAGACAATCTCGCTGAACTTGTAAAAGAAATACAAGCGCAGTTTTTTTCCCTTGCTTTTGCTGGTTTTTCCTGTGTATTAATAAATTGAGCCAATAGAGATTTTCTTTCTGTAAAAAGTAAAACATATTTCCATTGTTTACAACAAAAGTTAAAAAAGGAGAAAACCATGTTTTTGTGATGCTGTTCTCATGAACTACTATGATGATTACAATATGAATTAAAATGCATTTAACATAGTAATAACCTCGTCCTCTCAAAGTTTTTGTAAAGTAACGGTGGTATCATAAGGCATTGACCATTTTTGTTCATGCTATGTTTTCAAAGTCACCCCAAAACAAGTCTTCAAAAGGAGATGTTTCTATGTTTACTATGGATGCTATACTTCAAGATGTGTAACTGAAAAAGAGCATAGAAATTTCCATAATTTCACTACACTTTTAATATAAGAAAAAGACACTTAATATAAAAAAAAAAAAAAGTTCAAGGTGGAAATTAAATTATGGAAGATACAGGTAAAACATTAAAGAAACACTATAGCAACTATAACAACTTAATTTTATTAAAGTTGTTATATTACAGTAATATGTCACAATTTGTCCTATCTTCCAATGCTATTTTGTTCTCTTGTTTGATTGAGGCTTCTGCCCCCAAGCAATCAATATTAGAGAGTCGGAATCATGCTTCCTGGCTTCTCTATGAAAAGCACTGGACTGGAATGTCATCAGACCTTAGAGAGAACTGCCGCAAGGGGATTGTTAATGGCACTGGAATAAAGGTAAGTAAATGATTGGTTTTACAAAAAAAACAACAGAATATTTAAAAAGGGCTGCAAGACTATTAAATAATATTAACACTTAGGAATTATATTTTAAAAAGTATATTAACACAGTACTGTGTTCCTTTAAGGGGAATCCTGAGCCAGACAAGATTCTAAAACAGAGGAGGAAACTCACAGTTTCACAAGCGTAATGCCAAAACCACATCAAAAAGGATACGTAAGAAGGGAATTCTTAATCCAAGGCAAACCAACTAAAATTGTGACTTTCATTCATTTTAACATTTATGTCAATATTTAAATACTGCAGTAAATAGACAATCCCCAATAATGTTATCAGACATATAGCAACGTCCCCATAAAGCACTGGCAAACCTTTTACAACGGTACACTATATAACTAGTAGAAGCCTATCAATGCAGTCGTTATGGCTATAAACAGTGCTTCAGTGAGTAATAATAATGGACAATCCATACGATAACAACCCCTTGCACTGGTTAGGGTGCAAGAAGGTCTTGGTTCCTTTCTCCATGCACAGGTTATCCAGTAATCTGGGAACAATTGACAAAAAAAAAAGAAAGAAAAAAAAGAGGCTAATAATACATCATATCTGCCCATCCAATTCCCCAACTGCACTAACAAGCTCCTCCATAGCTTATTGTGTTTTTGTGGTTGATGGTCACTTTTGATTGCTTTACTTGTAAACCTGTGAAAAGATCTGTCACTGAACATCTCTATTCATCTTATCTAATGAATAAACTGTGGCTAAGTGCTGAACTACATATCCCATTAACCTCTGCTAGCAGACGTGTATGTCGTATGCTCATTTCCTAGTGAAATTAATGAGAGCATCAGGACCAGCTGTCCCACTACCTGGTTTGATCAGAGCTCACCTTTGCAGAAAATGCAAATCATGAAGATGTACAGCAAATGCAAGAATTTCAACCAAAAGTATATATTTTATATAAAATGTTTTAAGGCATTATTTAAAAGGATGAATAGCTTTGAATTCCGGTGACTTTAGTTGATATATATTTTCTTTGGTCACTATGTTAACATTTAATTTTCTCTACATAACAGAGCACCTGTACTTACGCAGCAGTGAGGGGTGTATAGTTGGTGCACCTTATACAGAGATTTTACCTTTTTTTTTTTACTTGTTTGCATTTTTTAATGCAATACCTACATGCTTAAAGAAACACACGGTCCATTTTAAACATATAGCACATGTCCCAGCAGATTTTACAGCACAGTGTGTTTACTTTAGAAGTTCTACGCTCCTGTTCTGTAAATTGAACGTTAATCCTACACAGGAGGCTCCTGCAGGATATTAGAGGAGCAGGAGAGAAGAAATTTAAATGATACACATTATTCAATAAAGAAAAGCAAAATAAATAAATCAGGAAGTGTGTAGGGAGGCTTTGTAAGTTATAGCCAGGGGAGTTGTGACTACGACTGCATAAACAAAGTAATTTATTCCTAAATGGCAGAACATTGAGCAGTGAGCCTGCAGGGGCATAACCTATACATTAAGTTAGAGTTGTTTTGGTGCTTACGATATCCCCTTTTACGGTGGGATCAGCAACTTTTATTCCACATGATGGCCAGATGCAGGGGAGGGTGGGAAGGCACAATGGCAAGTGTAGCATTGCTAGACAGATACCCAATCTGGTAAATTATTTAGGTTTCGGGACAGGTGATGTGTGGCTATTTTATTTGGTTCCAGAGGGCAAACTGGACGGAAACAGAGTCAGAGTTTTGAGAGCAAGCATTCAAGTCACTTGATAGAGGCCGTCCACATTGATAGAAACATTGTCACGTTGTGCTTATGGAAATAAGAATCCAGTAGTATGAGGGAATCTGTGTGCCTGTACACTATCTGCATTTGGATATATAAACATCTATCCGGTCCACAACTATACAGTATTCACTCTCAAGAACATAAAAACATGGTAGTCCAGATGCCTACTACATTGAAAGCCTTTGTTGAGGAGTTAACCATGGTTCCTGTAGGTTGCTGTGGAATGATCAATATACCTGTTCCAAACATTACTAAAATCTAATGCAGCTAGTTCATTCACTAAACACTGAATTATGGAAAGCTGGCAAAGCTAAAAAAAAATGTATACTAAGAAGTTGTAAAAAGTAAGCTATTTGTATCTAAACTGTGCATTTCTGATCTTAACAACTAACAAGCGTTTTGCAGAAAACCACCAGAATCTGAGTATTTTGTGTGTCCTTAAAGTAATGTTTAAATTTATGTTTTTGTTTTCAGTGCATTATTTAGAGGAAACAAAAATGTTTTTGTCTGGACAGAAAAACCTTTAAAAACAAAACAAAACAGGAGGGTGGAGCTAGCCAGCAAGCTGAGCGGTAAAACTGCCTATTGTTACCCTCTACGGAGACACAACACACCTCACCGAGGCCCCACACAACGGGAGAGACCATGGGGAAGCATTCCCGAAAATGTCAGGGTCTGAACGGGGGACAAACCCAAGATATTGGCCTCATGCTCTCACAACCAAATAGGCCTAAAATGGCGGACTTGCTCCCTGACTTACCATGCGGCTCCACCTCGGCCTCGGAAGATCTGGAGAATCTCCTGTCACAGCCCGGTAGCGGCAGAGCCAGCTCCCTGAAGCAACCTGACCCACAGTGGGCTATCAACACGATGGTAACAGAAATCAAGGCATTCTTTGCCTCAGCAATGGCGACCTTGAAGGCTGACCTAGACATACTAGCAGGCAGAATTAAGGCCATGGAGGATAACATCCAAAGCCTTGGACTTAAACAACAGGCCACTGATACTCACCTACAGGAGATGTCAAACACCTGTGCACCGCTAAGTGCGAAGGTGGAACACCTTGAAGACTTGGCACGCCAACGCAACCTGAAAATTCAGGGTATCCCAGACGCTATTGATGGAGAATTGCCTCACTACATCAAAAGACTACTTGCAGCAGCCTTGACACCCAAGGCGGCCAAAGGATTGCAGCTGGAGGGACTGTACAGACTACTGGGAAGCCTCAAGAACAAGGCACAGACTCCCAGGGATGTAATTCTATGTTTCAAGTCCAGACCCGATAAGGACACTTTGCTTTCACAAGTTAAAGGTCAAGTACCGTTTATGTTTGAGCAACATGCATTGAGCTTCTATCATGACCTCAGCAGATCAATGCTGCAATGGCATGCTACATTTAAGGAGGTGACCTCACAGCTAAGAGCGGCAAATGTCCCATACAAGTGGGGGTCCTTACGGTCCCTTATAGTCGAGCAAGTGATCAATGCCACAAGCTAACTTCACTTGCCAACCCGGACAGCTTTCTACAAACACTGGGGCTGGCTACCTGTAGTACATCTGGGACTAGCAGATCCACTCACCAGTGGGGTATGGACAATGTCAGTAGCTTTGAACCAGCTGGTTCCTCAGCTCCGGGATGAGGAGCAAACGGAAGATGCCCTTCTCAGCCAATTCCCCATCACACAGGGCTTTACAGCAGCAATTATATGTTACTTGTTGAATCAGCCTTTAAGTTTTAGTTTGGATTTCTTTTTAATCATAAATGTTTCAGATGTGGCCTATACTGGCCAACTGTTCTCTAAGTAACACAGTAGTACCTAAGAAAAGTACCGTTCTAAGGAACAGTTTCCAAAACACTACCTCCCTCCCTGCCTCCCTCCCCCGGGCTTCGGGGTTATGAAGCTCAATTATTCCCAATTGGACTAGAACACAATCCTATACACGCCACCAGACAGGCAGCCAAGATACGCTTCTCGGAGTAAATCTCCATATGGCATCTTCATACTAGTAGGCAAACCGGCAGACGCATCTCCTTCACATATCCATGCCCCAGGTCAAATGCTTTCTAATCTGTTTATGTTTGTTATTGGTCTTGGTTGGCTGCCATGGTCTACACTTATATATAAGCTACTGTATATCAACCTCGCTTAACCGAAGTCTAAATTATGTATAATTTAAAAATAGGTGTAATTTGCAGACATGTTTGCTGTCGACATTGTGCCATAATATGCATGTTATATGATTCACGTTTTATACTTGCTCACCTGCAAAAATAAAGCATTTAAAAAAAAATACGGACTTTATCGTAAATAACTGAACTTAAAATTATGCTTTGCTGTTAATTAGCTGGGCAAATAACCTTGAAGAGCATTTTGCAGTGTGTCCTGCGTTGTCATGGGGGTATAGTCCACATGTGGCCTTTGTTATATTTATGCGGCTGGGTATTCCGCTGTTATGAGAATTCACATCAGTCCATGCTAAAAATACCCCTGTGAGGCAGCGTTGTAGGCTTTTCAGCCTATACCCAGTGATGTAAGTCCTGTGCTTTGTGTCTGCTTGTTTCGTCTTTGCTGCCGCAGGGCCCGCTGTCTCCACCTCGGGGGTCTGCTCCGGTAGTGTCCCCCATGTGGTGCAGTCGCGTGGTCGCTTGTATAGGGAGGTGTGTTTTGTGTTGCGCTGATCGCCGGGGATTCGGTCAGGTTGGGAATGTGTGGGTGTCGCTTGGTTCATAGCCACAGTGTTTCTTGCCATATCCCACCTCGAGGCCAGGCAGTGTCTGTTATGCCGGACGGCCATCTTGGAGGCTCGGGGTATCTGCATATAGTAGCTGCGCCTCGCTGCAGGACGTATCCATGAGGCCACCGTTACTTCAGCTTGGCGGTGAGTTACTCCCCGGCTGTGTAAAGCCTTCCTGAGGCCTGCGCAGAGCCAATCAAAGGTTTCCAGTGAGGACCTGTGTCTTGAGACTGGTACTCCGCTTTTAAGGTGTAGGCTGTGTGGGTTTGTTGCCCTGCTTTGCTCCACCTCCATCTTGCTTGTTTTTGCAGCAGGTCTGTTTGCCCTGTGGGGACCGGTGTCCCCCACCGTTCCAGAGAAGGGTGTGGATGGAGTGCGCTGGGGCGATATCGCTCGTGGACTCCTGCGCCGAGAGGAACGGCCGTCTCCCCTCCGCTTCAGCTCCAGTAGGCCGCATTTGGATCTCCGCGGTCCCGGTTCTGATAGGTCCCGGGGGGGTGTCGTTGGGTTCAGTGGGGCACCCCCAACTTGGGTGATGCGCCCTCGGGGGATTATTAGCTTGACCGTCGTCGTTTTTGCCCAGTTTTCTGCCTGCCCGGCTGGAGCTCGTGTCAGTTGCAGCTGCACGGCTCAGCGGTCAGGCTCCGCCCCCATGTGCTCCATTTAAAGACATTCAGATAGTCAGGGAGATTGAACTTCTGACTTCCCCCGCTATCTCCTCCCCTACAGCTATGGATACAGTCAGTCATTTACAGTCACTGTTGGCCCGTATTTATCAGCTTTGCTGCACTGTGAACTCCGGGAACTTTAATAAAGGCATAATTTGCAAACAAAATTTGTTTGCAATAAACAAAATTTAATTTGTAAGTATGAAAATCGTGTATTGCGGGGTATGAATGCAACCTCAATGAGAAAAAGAATAAAACAAAAGTATCAACAGGTGCCCAAAGTTATACAAGACATAGATAAAGAGGCCAAGTTACAGTTAATACCTCTTAAACAGAAATAGGTTCTACTGCTCATGCGGGGAAAAAAAAAGAGAAAGGAAAGAAAGAAACAAGATCAGAGGATAGAGGAAGGGGAAAGATGAGGTTCTTGTGTAATTTTTTTTAAGTAGAGCAATGCAGACATATGTAAGCTCATTGAGCAGGGCTCTCAACTCCTCTGTTCCTGTGCATTGATTTGTCTGGTTACAATTACGTGTCTGTTAGTCCACCCATTGTACAGCGCTATGGAATTTGCTGGCGCTATATAATAAAATAATAATGATCATGAAGTTCACTTAACTAATATGAGTTGTTGGTGATTGTCACTGAACAATTTATTTCATGAAAAAGCTATATTAAAAAAAAAATCAAACATTGACCCCCACTTCTGAATGGGGCAACTAGCCCTCTCCCTACATCCACAATCCTCCCCTATTTCCAAGTTTTATACCTCCTACCCACGCAGTAACGACACAGACCTCACGGACAAAGACTCCACAACTAGAGGCAACGACCGAGACCAAGCACACTCAAAAACTTAGAAACCTGGCTCTACACACCACCGAGCCTAAAGGCTCACAAAACAGAAACAAGGCTAAACAACTCAAAACAATGAACTTGAGACGGCTATAGATACGTTACGTAGGGGGAACATCCCGATACCCTTTTTCTAACCTGTTCTTTCCAACCCTGAAAAAAAGACGGAAAATAGCAACTTACGATTGTTAAAGGCAATAAGACAACACAACGTAAGAAAATTTTATTGTAACAGTGAAATGCTTGAAAATGTACCCCAATTTTTATGACACATTGTAACCCTTTCTTTTTTCGGATACCCCCACAACTGAAAAACTTATGAAAATTCAAAAATAAAGAATTTGCAATAAAAAAAAAAATCCAACATTGTAACTTGCTGGAATATTAGTAAAATAAAATAGAAACTTTCAATTTCGCCCAGCTCTGGTGAAAACATAGGGAGGCCAATGTGCTGTAGCAGGGCAAACACCAATCATAAAACTATCAGATTGCTGTTCAATCCAACCATGGGCGCTGAAATATGGAAGTACAAATGGGGTTGCTGTCAGAGAGGACTTTTATCCAAAATGTTCAGTATACGTGTTTTAAAAAAATAAAAATAAATAATAATTATTAGCTCAAATATGACTAATATGATTAATTTTGAGGTTTAAAAATAAATTTATGGGGGCGTGGCTTGGCGCCGAACAGGAATGGCCGCCTAATTCCCGAGCTCCGCTCCCAGCCGCAAAAAACACACCGCACTAGCACGACCTGGCACCCATGGGACGTACCAAGAGAGCCCAGATGACCCCATCCACGCCGAGAACACAGGGGACCGGCTCGCACCCCTCCATCCGCAGCTACCTCCACACACCAGGGGATTTCCTCTCCCAGGAGGAGGCCTCCAACATGGCGCCCTCCTCCCCGAGCTCCACGCTGTCGGAGGAATACCCGCGCACTGACAGCAGCCGGCAAGCCCCACAGACACCAGACTGGTACACACTGTTCACTTCCCTGCCGAAAAAGGAGGACTTCCAGACACTACTGGATGAGGTAAAAGCCACCCTGCGCACAGAGATCTCAGCCCTAGGCACCTCACTCACAGCGCTTGAGACAAGGGTACAGGCACTAGAGACACAGGGCCCCAACCCACACTGCCCTGCTATACAAGCTACAGAGGCCCACTCCAGGCACATACAAGATCTGCGCCTCCACATAGAGGACCTTGATAACCGCAGCCGCAGGCATAACATCAGGGTAAGAGGCTGCAGAGAATCTGACACAACAGAAGACGCCAGGGCCACGCTGACCCCGATTTTTAATCGCATACTGGGCAGACCCAGGGATGCCCGCATCCACATGGACAGGGCACACAGGGCACTAAGATCCAAGCCCCCCCCGGGCGCTCCCCCCAGGGACTTAATTTGCCACATACCAGACTTCCAACTAAAGGAAGAAATTATGAGAAAAGCACGCACAGAAAGAACCTGGAGAATAGAGGGACAGGCGATAGAACTTTACAATGACCTATCCCACCTCACCCTACAGGCCCGAAGAGCCTTGCGGCCCCTCACCGCCGCCCTGCAAGACGCCCAAATCCGCTACAGATGGCAATTTCCTTTCGCCCTCTCAGCCAGACAGGGCACCACAGAAGCAGTAATTCGCACGCCGCAAGATGTACTGGCCTTCCAGGAGGCTCTAAACCTCCCCCGCACCCCTATTTCGGACTGGACTGCATGCCCGCTTAATGAACGCCTCACAGGGAGGCCAACACAACGTACCATCCACCAGGGGCCCGACAGGGACGCCCCACGCACCCATCACCGACTAATTGACCCTGAGGAATAACGAGATGGAGACACCACCACCTGCCTACACCCACCCTGCACCACCAGCCTGACCACGACCGTGCAACGCATTAACGACCACGCTGAGGGGAGCAGGAGGGATAAGGCACCTCCAGAGACACCTACTCCCCCCCCCCATTTTTTTTTATTTTTATTTTTTATTTTTATTTTTTTATTTTATTTTTTTTTTATTTATTTTTTTTTTTCTTCTCTCTTTCTCTATCACTCTGCAACCAGGAAAGCAAAGGGAGAAAGCAGATTGCGACTCACCGCCGCCAAGACAACACCAAAAACGGTAACCCACCCACATCTCACCGTCCCAAAGGCCTAGAACCACCTTGCTTCACCGGCTAACTGGGCCTACATCTATTGCCCCCCGAGTCCATGACTTGCTCAACACCACCAAGAACGCTGCTAACTCAACAGAGACAACCCCAGAGGACTCGCCAGTGCACCAATATCTTGGCTGGCTCCACACAAGACTCCTTTGCCCCACAATGCGGGACATAGACCCACACCCGCCAAGCTCCAAACACCCTATAGAGACGACCACTGACATGATGCCTTGAACTGACACCCTGGCATCACCCTGGACTGCTGGCCACGGCTCCCACCACCGTAGAACGCATCGCAAGTGCAAGTATACCTTACGGGCTCGCTTACACACCTTGACACTAACACATACACACACACATCCGCTACACCAGGAAGGGAACCCCCCCAAATACACCCAAGATGCACCCAGACACCCTTACTATCTAATCAAACCGCAGACATACACACAGACCATACCTGCAACACAGGCAACCAGGTATCAAACGCACCTCTGAGGCGTCCAACAGAAACACACCTCAGACACCACGAACACGCTAGAAGGGGGGAACGCATCACTCACCAACCACTACATACCGTAAGATGAATGCTCCGTGTTCCTCAAGAATTACTGTTGAGAGCGACTCTGCCTCGCCCCCTGTGAACAACCGAGAGGTTCCCACCGGGCGACGGAGACACCTGCGCTCACTGGTTCCAACAAAGTGTATTGAGTGTATTGTTGGGGGTGTGTTTTTGTTTTCCTGAACCCCTTCCCCCCCTCCCCCCCTTACTTTTTGCCCTCCTCCTCCTACCCTGTTATATAAAAGGTGTGGGGTGACGGCGCACCACGGGGTGCAAACCTCATTCTATTCCATGAGGGGCCCCCTGTGCTGTGCGAACACACCCAAACCATCTCTAAATGTTCATAAAAGTTTCTGATGTTCTCCCTGACACTGGGATATAACTTGTGTAACCATGTTTTGATATGCTGTTATTATGTTGTTCTCACGAATACTGTTCTTATATCCGTATGCACGCTCCCGACACAATAGCGCAACGATAACAAGATAGCGCCCAGGGGCGACCATCACGACCATCCACATTGTTGTTAACTGATCCGCTAGAACGGTACTACCCCTCTGGATGCCAGACACCACCACTGTTAGGCAGCAGGAGACGGATGCTGACAGACAGTGATACGTCACTAGACGACACCCAAAGTAGGTGACCTACCTAACCACCAACGCCACCTGCCCCACGGGTTCACTGCCAAGAGACTGTGAGGTGACTACGAGGACCTTGGTTCCCGGACACACACCTACCAGTGGCACATTACCCCTTACAACAGTCGCCTCTGCGACTCGACACAACCGCTACACACCACACCGCTTGAACTACCCCCTCAAACACATCTAACCTCCCCTTCCATCTCCCCCCCCCCTTTTCCTCCCCTACTCCACACCCCGCCACCTGGATATGATGGGCCCACCGCCTCTCGCCCCCCACGCCCCCGGGCACGCAGAGATAGGAATTAACCTCTACACAATCAACGCGAAGGGCCTGAACTCCCCACAAAAACGAGCAAGAGCGCTGCGAGAAATTCGAGCACTTAAGATATCAATAGCTTTCTTCCAAGAAACACACTTTCTAGCAACAAAAGCCCCCAAATTCTCAGATAAATACTTCCCAACCGGCTACTACGCGCATAACCCCTCCACCAAATCCAAGGGAGTGGCTATATTATTCTCGGCAGACACCCAGTTCCGCCTGGAAGCAGAAGAGAAAGACCGAGAAGGCAGATACCTTTTTCTCAAAGGACACATAGGGGACGCTCAAATCACACTCGCGAACCTCTACCTCCCAAACAAAGGCCAAAAATCATTCCTAGCCTCAGCCCTGAGAAAATTGGAAGCGTTCAGTGCAGGAACCGTAATAATAGGAGGGGACCTCAACGCCCCTCTAGACCCCAAAATGGACACATCTAAAGGGGGCTCCACGATCCCGGACCACGTCCTCAGAGGACTGCGGACCCTTTTGACAACTCACCAACTTGTAGACTGCTGGCGAATCCTACACCATACAGAGAAAGACTACACCTATTATTCAGCGCCACATAAATCATACTCGAGGATTGACTACTTCTTCATCCAACACAGGGATCTAGACACACTGTGTTCAGCCCACATCGCCCCCATGACCTGGTCGGACCACGCACCAGTAACACTCACCATCGACAATCCTAGAACCTTTCGATCCCAATGGACATGGAAACTTAATGAATCACTCTTAGAGGACCCACTGATCCAAACAGAAATTAGGAACACACTAGACCACTTCTTCCCCACCAATCAAACAACAGAAAGCGCACCAACGACCGTCTGGGAAGCACACAAATGCACTATCCGAGGGATCCTCATCAAACACGGCACTCGCCTGAAAAAACAACGCACACAGGAAATAGCACGCCTTGCTGCCCAACTGGCGCGTCTAGAAACGCTTCACAAACAAGACCTCCGAGACGAAACCTACAAACAACTCCTAGAGACCAGAGCGAAACTCAACTCCTGCCTTACGTCCAAAATACGATTCCAGTTCCAACTCACACAAAAAACGTTTTATGAATACGGAAACAAAAGTGGTAAACTGCTCGCTAGGGCGCTGAGAGCCCGGAGACAGAAAACCCATGTTCAAAAGATCTCCCTGGCAGGAAACACACTGCGGACCCCGAAGGCTATAGCAGAGGGCTTCAGACAATACTACTCCTCCCTATACCGCCTACCTCCCAACACCACACGCGCACACGAAGGAGAAGAGGCTCACACAGCGCGGCAAAAAACATATATCGAACAGAATATCACCACAACGCTGACACCCCAAGAAATAGCTACACTAGAAGAAGATATCACTGAAGCGGAGATACGCCTAGCCATCAAACTGGCCAAACTGGGGAAAAGCCCCGGACCAGACTGGATACACGGCAAAGTACTACAAAATGTTCGCAGACAACCTTGTCCCACACCTACTTACACTATTCAACTCAATACATAACGGAGACCCCTTAGACCCCAACATGCTCCTAGCACACGTCGTAGTACTCCCGAAAGAAGGAAAAGACCCCTCCTCATGTACCAGTTACAGGCCGATCTCCCTGTTGAACGCCGACCTCAAACTGTTTGCCAAAATACTATCCCTGCGCCTCCAGCCCCTGATGCCGAGCCTTATCCACCCTGATCAGGTGGGCTTTGTGGAGGGCCGGGAGGCCAGGGACAACACTATCAAGACACTCAATCTTCTCCACGCGGCCCGAGAAGGACACTCCCCCGCCCTGATAGTCTCGACCGACGCGGAGAAGGCGTTCGACAGGGTAGACTGGTCTTTCCTGAGGTCCACCCTGGAACACCTGGGACTGGGACCCCACATGATGACGCGCATTTGGGCCCTATACACCGCTCCAGCAGCCCGGGTGCAGGTTAATGGGATTCTCTCCGACCCATTTGAGATCAGAAACGGCACTAGACAAGGGTGTCCCCTATCGCCCCTACTCTTTGCCATCAGCTTAGAACCATTCCTCAATGCAGTTCGAGCCCAACCCCGCATAACTGGAATCGAGGGTAGCTGGGGAGCCACCAAGGTCTCTGCATACGCGGACGACCTCCTCTTCACAATCACCAACCCGGCAACCTCACTTAGGAAGCTCACGCACCAATTTGACCTATATGGCACCCTCTCCAACTTGAAAATTAACTTTACGAAATCTGAAATTCTCAACGTAAACTGCCCCCTAGCACTAACAACTACACTGCAAACAGAGTTCCCTTTTCACTGGTGCAAAGAAAGAATTAAATACTTAGGGATCTGGCTGTCGGCTGATGTGTCGGACACCTACCGCAACAACTTCCCACCCCTCCTCGACCGCATACAGAAGGACCTCGACTCATGGCAACTCCCGCACATAACGTGGCTGGGTAGGATCAGTGTCCTCAAAATGAATATCCTCCCCCGAATCTTGTATCTCCTACAAACCCTACCAATCCACATTCCCAAAACCTTCCTAACACAAACCCGTAAAACACTGATGGCCTACGTCTGGGCCCGCAAAACGCCGAGGCTGAATTTCGCCACCCTCACCAGACCCAAACTACAGGGAGGCCTGGGACTACCCGATATCACAAAATATAGACATGCTATACACCTCCAGCGAGTGATAGAATGGACACAAGACCCGAAAGACAAGCTATGGATCCCCATAGAGGCCAGCTTCTCACGGATACCCCTGACACTTCTACCCTGGCTACCGAAATCTATGGCCGGGGAACTGCCACGGAACCACCCAACCCTAAACGCTACAATGGCAGTTTGGAGGAGACTGGCGACTCACACAGACGTAGCCCCGGAACTCTCACCATTATGCCCCATATCTCACAACCCGAAATTTGCCCCTGCATCGGACCCCCACTACACGGCTGCCCTGGGCCTGCCGACCCCCTGCAGAGTGAAGGACGTCTATGACCAAGGCACAATCACGCCCCTGACCACTCTGGTCCCGAATACCCCACACAATATGCTCCTACGCTTTAGATATCACCAACTGACAAGGTTTCTGAGAAGCATACCAACCCTAAATTCGGCAACGCGAGCACTCTCTGTATTCGAGATCATATGCATGAACCCCCCCCCCCACACGCGATATCGCTACTATATCGCATGCAAACCACCACCACCACTAACGCACCCCTCCCTTACTTCACAAAATACTGGGAAAGGGATCTAGGACACTCAATTTCAACGGAACAATGGACAACAGTGTTTACACTCACACATAAAGCCTCCATCTCCACCAAATTCCAAGAAACAGGATATAAAATGCTCTCCCACTGGTACAGGACACCGGAAAAACTTAGCATGATGAAACCCACAAATGACCCGGAATGCTGGAGATGCGGGAGAGAACTGGGATCCCTCTTCCACATATGGTGGTCCTGCCCCCTTATCCAGCCCTTTTGGGCAGAGATCCACAAGATACTCACAACCATAACAGAAGCAAACCTACCCCTCTCACCAGACACATACCTGCTCCAACTTACACAGACCCCAATCAACAAATTTAAAAAAACAGCACTCCCACACCTAATAAACGCAGCCCGCAGCCTCATCCCGAGACACTGGAAACAACACATGGCCCCGACTATCAGAGAATGGATAACGAGAGTGGAAGACATCAGACGCATCGAGGAACTCATCCACTCCGCAACGGGACGCATACAACGTTACCATGATGCATGGTACCACTGGCTCCAATGGCTCGCCTCCACCGCACCAATTACGGGGACCACACAATACCTGACAGCAGAGGCAGATGGGACGGTCCAGACGGAACAGACGGACGACAATACGGAAGCTGAACCACCGACCCAACCAAACCAAGACGACCACTCAGAGCCGGAGATGCCCCTTGCCCCGGAGGCGGGGGGGGGTTGAGGTGGGGACCCGGGACCTGACACCCCATCCCCTACCCTCCCGCACCTTACCCTCACCCGCAATGCCCTCACCCCATTAACCTACACTCCCATCCCACCCGCCCCCCACAACACACGTTAAAATACATGACCAACTGCCGACAGGCTGCCTTGAGAATGCCCCCTACACCCGCAGAAACGCCACCTCCCTTACAGGACAGACCATACACCACAGCACCCACAAAGACCCACCATGACCAACACATATCGGACAAGGGATGAACCAACCCAACAAGACTGTCCAAACGCCCAACACTCAAGTACACTACACCACGATACTAGAACCCACCCAACCCTCACAACCCGGGACAGCACCCGCTCGACCAATACACCCCCGACACTAATAGGATCCCCAAACAGACACAGAAAGACACCAACACAGAAGGGACACCCCAACAAGACTACACCCCGACGCATGACACACACACAGCCACCGCCCACACACATCAAAGAACAACGACTAGCGCAAAGGGGACACCCACAACAAACGCGCACACAGGACAAAAACTACCTGACGGACCCTCGACCCCCAAACGCCCCACTACTCGACAACCACTCCCTACCCCCCACCCCAACGGATCAGTAGAGACGCTCTCAGGAAGCAGGGCTAGACAAGGTCACAGCAGGAGCACTAAAGTTTCTGCCTTATCGCAGTTTATCTGCTTCCCAACACAAACATACCAATTCATAAAATGACTGAATCTGAGTGTTCTCTATAGCTTTCATGTCTAAAACTTGTGAGAATGGCGAAAATATTCTCTTTCTATTTTTCTAAGACTAGTTCCTTCTTGAAAACTGTCAATGCTGAAAGATGTTGCAATGTAGGAATGGAATCAGATGCTCGCTATTGCTTTGTAAAATTGCTCTCTTCACATCAATACTAAAGATACCTTTATACCAAATGAACAATAACTGACATGTACACTATTTTTGCCACCTTCTGTATTGATGCATATAACTTTGTATTGCCAATTGTTATGATGTCAATAAAAGCAAATTGAATAAAAAAAAATAAAAAAAAAAAATAAAAAAAATTTATTGACAGTTATCTTTTAACTCTAGAACACATCCTTTAATGAATTAACTAATTATCAGAAGCCAGTTTTTTTTTCCAGCAGTTTATAAAGCTAACTGCGCTGGGTTTTGGCTTCATACGTGGATGGAATATTTCTATGGAAGGCACTAAGGTTTGTTCAATGGATTCATCATCAGAAAATGTTTCTTTTTCCTGTGTTTGATTAGGAAGAAAATTCTATAAAAGCCGCCAGTCAGACAGAGTAATCTCTCCACAAATATTTTTAATTTACAAGCTTTCAATCTGCAGATTAACAAGATGTTTGATTCTTGCCGTAACCGGTTAGGCTTGTCTAAACATCCCTGATTCTAGGTAAATGTCTAATAAGCCTTTTTTGGTTTTCCGCTGGGTCTCTTACCTCCTATTCCGTAATGTGGTATTAGTAATGCCAGCTGCTCTTCTCATTTTATATAATTATATATATTTTATTTATTAGTACCTTTATTGTGAGAAAAGTCAAGTCCTTTGGATATACTACACAATAATGTTGGCGCTTTATAAATAAATAGTGGTAATACTGTGAAATAGAGAATAGGGGCTTTCCTGTAATATAAACCCAGACAATGAGTTATTATGGTGTTAAACCAAATGCTCACGTCCATCTCTGATTGAGTTTCCTGTTTTACAGTACTATGTTAATTTTTCTACATTGTACTGCAGGATGCAGTCACAGATGGACTGTGTGGGCTACACATCTCTCTGCAAATGGCTCAGAGAGGTAAAAGCAAGCATGCTGCATACTTACCTTTTCAGTTATACTTGGACAAAATATAAAGGAAAATAAAACGAACACTGTAGGCATTATACAAAACAACCATGGATCACGTGCATCATGAGATGCTGTTTAAAATAAAGACGTGAACCTGAATGGAAAAGTGGTTTACCAACAGAAATCAATCCTATTCTTTGTAACAGAAATCAACTTCAAATATTAAGGCACAAACTAGGACTACAGGATTACAAGGATAGGTGCATAGAAGATTGTAATACGCGCTAAAACTGTTAATATGGGTAATAGTACAGTAAAGAGTTACCAGGTGCTTTAAGGGAAAATCTGATCCCCCACCAGATCCATAAATCTAGTATACAATAACCCCAAGCACACCAAAATAAATTTGCACGTAAAAAGGTTTTTATTTATACAGTAGACAAGTATAAATTATACAGATAAAGTGTAGATAACAGAACAGACATGTAAACATCAAATAACATACCAATAACCACTATACATAGTAAGTGCTCAAAATTGAAACCCATAAACCTATAATATAACAGGCATATTGACCCAAGAGCAGGAGACAATAAAACCTCAATGTTTCGGCGTCACAGCCTTCCTCAGGGGCATCCCCTTCAATTTTTGTTTACAAGGATAGGTACCTGGCACAAATCACACATCTATACACATACAGGGTTATCCACTAAAAAGAGAATATGTCAGGAATTCAAAGTGAATTTAACATTTAAAGCAAAAATAATCAAACTAAAAACAAAGTTCACATGGAGAATGTTTCCAGTTCAGGTTTTTTTCCTTCAATTTTAAGTTCACTTTCAATTCTCAACGTTTGTCACCTGTCCCAATTTAGTTCCTTGGTGTCCTGCACATTGTGCCAGGAAGCATAGCATGAACACATCTTTAGACGAGCTCGCACTGTGCAACGGGCACTAGAACAATGCAGAGAGTGCTTTAGCAGTGCTCTCTGCATGGTTTTGTATGTTTGGGACTGGCCAGGAGCCTTTTTGTCAGACTTAGGTGCTTGACCCCAGGCTGATGTGCCCTATCATGGGCAGGCACATCCACTATGCCCCTTCATTGGGCAGACACACCCACTTTGCCCCTTCATTGGGCAGACACACCCACTATGCCCCTTCATTGGGCAGGCACACTCATTCTGGGTGTCATCAGTGACGCAAGCTGTGTTATTGGCGACACCCCTTGGAAGGACTGTCTACCTGTTGTGATTATATACTTCCTAATGCTGGGAGATATGGAATTGTGCATTCCCAGGGCATGTCTTTTATACCACCTATTTGTGATCACTATGAAGGCAACTTAGAAAGCTATTCTGATCTGTAAAGTCAGCTGTAATGAAGTGGTTAACAGAATATTTGTTTTACTACAGCACACAAATTTAACAGGGTGCCATGTGAGCAGCAGCAAAAAAAATAAACCTGGTGTCAAAGAAATTTGAAGGACCCCTGTTGTGTTTGGAGTACAAACCGTTTAGGTCCCAGCACCCACCAGTAGTGAGTTTAAAAAAGTATTTTACGTACCCTTTTCTCCCTCACAGCACCAGTCTCAGTGCTGCCATCCTGCTTTCTTCGCTGAGATCATTAAGATTGATGATCTCATCCAATCCAGTGCTTATATATAGAAAAGTATTGGGAGGCTATTGCACATGAACGGCAAAACTCAGGGGGGAAGGAGAGGGACCTAAATGGCTATAAGGGCACGACACAACTGGGTGCCTATAGTGTCCCTTTAACAGCTGAAAAGTATGTATTTATCATCTGTAGCAAACATACAGCATATCTGCAATGCTCTCCAGTCAATATGCAGTATTTAGGGAATAGGTGTTTTCTAATGATATATTCACCTGCTTTCTAAAAAAAATAAAATAAAGAAATTTCTGTTTTCATTAATTTTCCATTCCCTTCTGGTTTGACTATCAAGGCATGCTTTTATTTGCCCTAATACTGTCTGGATTATATATTTTGCAATAACACATATATATATATATATATAAAAAATAATCCTCCCATCAATGTATATTAAGCCACGTGATTCCTGAGTTGCAAACTCACAATGTATTAAATTATGATACTAATTTCTCTGGGTGGCGAGTGGATTACTGTAGTTTAATGTGACAATGAAACAGCCTGATTATTGGCCCACTGCAGAGATCTTTTCTGTTTCTATAATCATAACCTCATCATTTTCTTAAATTAACATAATCGTTATTTCAGAGATGCCTATTTTAACCCTTTCTAAGCCCTTACTAGACATGTTCTTTCATAAAGGATAATGAAGGCAATTATTCTAGTAGACTGCAATTTACCCCTACTGGGCCCATACATGTTGCTGATTGGTAACTTTGCCGTGTTGTATGCCTCGAAAAGATGTCTGCAGTGTGTCACAAGTCTCTAGTTCTTGCCAATGTAGGACAAACGTCAGACGCACTCCATGAGACTGTTAGGTCTTCTGTCTGAAGGATTGTTTGTAAACTGATAATGAACACAGCTGAGTGTTTTGAACCCAATATCGGCATTACTGCTCATTACATCATATATATGAACTTTTTAAAGAGACAAAGCTCATGAGAAATTACATTTCCATTTTTGAAATTACATTTATAAACAAGCCATAAATTAATATATGTGCAATTATCTGGTGTATTGATAGGCAAATATTAAACAATTACTTCCTTGCAAGTGATCTATATTGCAGGATATCTATATCTATCTATAAAAAAGTTTTTTAAATCATATATTGAGAGAGAAAGAGAGAAAGAGAGAAAGAGAGAAAGAGAGAAAGAGAGAGAGAGAGAGAGAGAGAGAGAGAAAGAGAGAGAGAGAGAAAGAGAGAAAGAGAGAGAGAGAGAGAAAGAGAGAAAGAGAGAGAAAGAGAGAGAGAAAGAGAGAGAGAGAGAAAGAGAGAGAGATGGATGATTCTTATCTGCAGGATGTACCTTATTTTTACCACCCTAATTTTATCACTCTAACCACTTAGTTTCAGCTGTCTCTCCTATCGCTTTGATTGTCAATATCTTGACTTGCAAAAGTCTCCTCCACTTCCTGGGCTGTCAAGCCACTGACCTCTAGCTGCCCTTCCTACCCACCCTATCTTTCCAACCTTACCTTCAACCTGCAGTTGCCTCTACTTTATTCTGACTGTCCAAACTCTGACCTGCAGTTGACCGTTATGCTGTCTGACATTCAACTGCCTGAACAACTCCCACTGCCAGTGAAATAAGAGGTAGGACAATCAATGCTCCAGTAGAGATAGCCATCTCATCTCTGGCTATCTCTACTGGAGCATTGATTGTCCTACCTCTTATTTCACTGACAGTCCTTTATGTTCACATGTCTATATAGCAATTGGAACAAATTCCGTCAAAGCTGAGGGAAATTACATAATTTGTCTCCTTAAGATAAGTTTAGCTACTCATGTTATTAACAGACATCTTGCTTTTAGCTCAACATGAGTTGAAGTCCTACCACTACGATGCAATTACGAAACAGCGATAATGGCAAAAAAGTGAATGGGGCACTGGTTTACTTGTGAAATGGTTCCACAGGTTTAAGTCTTGCAGCTGTTCAAGCTATGCAAGTCACATACCAAATTCCGGGACTTCAAACTAATATTCCAGGCTGCCAATCAATTATACTATTGTTTTGGAAGGAAACTGTACCCCTTTCTCTTAAACTGGGTATGGGTAGTTCAACACATTCGGCAGTTAGGACGCAGATACATTAAAAGCAAGTAATTACTGTCTGGAGTTCATCTCTTCTTCTGAAGTTACAATCCATGTTATGTGTTTATAAGAGGACCTATATGGTCAGATCCACCTTCGTACAGATGAGTTACCCTGGACCACTGGAAGGATTTACCATCCCTTCAATTTTCCTCCTCACCATTCTTCCAATAATGAAATGGTGTGCTCAAACACACCAAGTTCTTACTGTGTGTTCTTAATGTATAGCACAGAAATCTCTGTCTGCGTAATCTAATTTCAAGAGAAGATTTAATGGTTAACAAAACCTACAGTCCCCCTCATCCCCCCTCCCCCTTTAAGCTATGCATACAGACTGAATGCAAGCATCAAGCAAGCTAAATTTTATAATCAGCAAAGAAGCACAAACTATTTTACGTCTAAGCCAACCAAAATTTATTCGAAGCATAGAAATGAAGCTACTGTTTTAACAAATGTAAATTCTGCGGGCACTGCCACCTCCAAGTCAACCACAAACCAAACATCCACCTACACCTAGGCATGGCATGAGCTAAATTCCATATACTAGAACAACAAAGAATTCATTCAGGGAGCCAACATGCTTCCTTTCCCAGTATTACCTTTTACAGGCAGTGACTGATGAGCAGACCTATCTCTTTATATATTCACCTAAGACTACATTCACCATAAATCAAGATCATTAGAATTGCCCTTATTTGGATCTACATATATTTGTGCATTCTCAATACTTTGCTTTTAAGTGCTAGTGAAAAATAACTTAAAACAACACTATAGCATTAGAAATATAAATGTGTATTCCAAACACTTGGGTGATCATGCCCCTACCTGCATTAAGAAGGGGGGGGGAATAGTTTTACATTTTTTCCCTCCAGGCTTTTTAAATCAATTTCTTAAAGTGACCAAGTGCCAATTACCAACTTTAGTTTTTAAACTTTAGTTTTTAGTCTCCTATAGTACCAAAATACTGAGGTTAAACAAAGAATCTACTCTCATTGGATACTTGTTTCAGTGGGGGAAAAAAAAGCCATAAAATAAAAATGTCTAAAACTATCAACCCCTTTCCCCATATTTGTTAAAAAAAAATTCTATTCAGATTTCTAATGTTAATGATCATAACCACTATCATTTTCTGGTTATGCATCAAAGGAGTTGTAGTTTATCAACTTGAGAAACCTGGACTGCTTCTCATTTGGAATATCCACTTTCATTTTTCCAATTCCAATGCTGTGGAATATGTTACTGCATTCTAAATAATAACAACATTAACAGAAACTACAATAATGTCATGAGTAAAAAGCAGTTTCCTATGGATTTAAATAATTAAATCTAGTCCTTCGCTAGGTAAGCAATGAATAGCAAATATGTGGCTCTACAGCAATGGCAGGTTTATATCTCGACTCAATACAAGTTTCAGGAGGAGTCAGACGTATTTTGTAAACTGGCCAAATGGGATGTAAAAGAGAAAAGTACAAGAATGTTTAAGTGCATATGTGTTGTGGTACATGAAGTATTCACATTACTTCTGCCCCACTTTATCTGCATTCACCTATAACCAAGAAACCGGCAGGAAATAAACTATTTAATAAAATACTCTGAGGAGTTGTGGAAAGACCATTTTGTGTCTCAGATTGGAAATAAAAATATAAACATTAAAAATGTAAAAAATACATTTACTTTTGTTTTCTTATTAGAACAAATTAAAAAATATATGAATTCAGCTATAAAGAAACAAAATATGGAGAGAGAAAAAAAAAAAAAAAGAGAGGAAACATTTGACAGTTTACGTATGTGAAAAGAATTCAAGAAAAAGCAGACACTTCATCACTCTCCAGTATAGTGCCAGCTGAGTATCATGGCAGCTACTTTTCTGGACAAATGATCATGTCAACAGTATGGAATGAGGAAGATCAAGAAAATTCAATAAGCAGCAAACGGTGGCTTTTTGACCACACCATTACTCCTTTCTACTCATAAAGGTAATTACCCTATGAATGCAGAAGCGGTAGTAAAACCAAACCTTAAATATTAATACATACAAAGTTCATAGTGTGCCACATTCTCAGCATGATATTCAGATGTATTTTTGTTACTGGCTACTACATTTCTGTCATTTTTATGGAAAGTTCCTGATACCGTTAATTTTGCTCTCAGTACCTGCACAACATAAATAATCCCTTTTTTCTGCACATTATGCATCCCCCTTATTCATGCACTCAAATCGTAACTCCTAACTTTTACAGGCTCTCGCAGCTTTCTAATGATATGAGATCTGAAGACAGCCACGTTGAAAAATTTAGAATAAAAAACAAAAAAATCCCACAGTGAAATAAAACAAATCTCCATAGGTAATGTTGACAACTGAGCTACTTTGACCTATAATTTGTAAGCTGGTTGCCAACTAACCACCACTGACTGCTTAGTAAGTAAATGCTTTTAGTCCGCTTAGCAGCATTCAAGGGTTACTCCGTCCATGATTACTTCTGCTTTTTGAAGTGGTCATGGACGAAGGAATCTGGCTGTGCAGTGTTTCTCATTGAAAAACTGTAAAACCAGAGTTATTTGAATTTGTGTACTAGGAGCTTGTACATTTCAAGGCACACGTGGATTTCGCAGCAAATGTGAATTCTGTGCATATTTTACATCTGTCGTCAGCACGCTGGCAACGGGCATAATCTGCTTCTCCCCCTGCAGGCACTGCCTGTAAGAAGGAGCTTGCGTGTCCCCTTCCTTATGGCTCCCTATACCATCCACTACTTACAATATCTCACAAAAGTGAGTACACCCCTCACATTTTTGTAAATATTTTATTATATCTTTTCATGTGACAACACTGAAGAAATGACACTCTGCTACAATGTAAATTAGTAAGTGTATAACAGACCTTGCGTTCCCCCACCTTCCATTTGAGGATGCCCCAGAGATGCTCAATAGGGTTTAAGTCTGGAGACATGCTTGGCCAGTCCATCACCTTTACCTTCAGCTTCTTTAGCAAGGCAGTGGTCATCTTGGAGGTGTATCCCTCCGAAGGGAGGGGATCATGCTCTGCTTCAGTATGTCACAGTACATTTTGGCATTCATGGTTCCCTTAATGAACTGTAGCTCCCCAGTGCTGACAGCACTCATGCAAGCCCAGACCATGGCACTCCCACCACCATGCTTGACTGTAGGCAAGAAACACTTGTCTAGGTACTCCTCACATGGTTGCCACCACACACGCTTGACACCATCTGAACCAAATAAGTTTAGCTTGGTCATCGGACCACAGGACATGGTTCCAGTAATTCATATGCTTAGTCGGCTTGTCTTCAGCAAACTGTTTGCGGGCTTTTTTGTGTATCATCTTTAGAAGAGGCTTCCTTCTGGAATGACAGCCATGCAGACCAATTTAATGCAGTGTGCAGTATATTGTCTAAGCACTGACCGCCCCGCCCCACCAACCTTTCAACCTCTGCAGCAATACTGGCAGCACTCATACGTCTATTTCCCAAAGACAACATCTGGATAGGACGCTGAGCACGTGCACTCAACTTCTTTGGTCGACCATGGCGAGGCCTGTTCTGAGTGGAACCTGTCCTGTGAAACTGTATGGTCTTGCCCATCGTACTGCAGCTCAGTTTTATGGTCTTGGCAATCTTCTTATGGCCTAGGCCAGGGGTAGGCAACCTTTCAGCAGCACTGTGCCGAAATAGGATTGTGATGTCCTGTAGCGTGCCGGTCCTATTTTTTTAAATTTAGGCGTGCATGTTGCCATGTTCTGCTTGTGTTATTTATACTGCACTTGCTTTGTATCATTGTATTTGTGCGTATATGAGCTATTATGTTCATGAGTACTTTGTGGTATTGTGTATGATACATATGAATATGGGCTGTGTATGGGGGATACTTGTGGAATTGTGTGTGTGGATGGATTTGTCACATTGTGTGTTTGGTAGTGTGTGTATGTGTGGGGCTGTTTAGAGTATTGCATGTGAGAGGCTGCATGTTGGGTTGTGTGCATGTATGTGGATGTTGGTGGTGGTGTGTTTGTGTGTGGGCTGTTTATTATGTTTGTTGGTACTACAAGCCCAACCTATGACTCATACACCTTTCCATCTGATAACAGCAATGTTTATGACTTTACAGTTGACTTCTTTATGCCCTTCAATTTTGAGAGTCACATATTTCTGTTCAATATTAATCAATAATTAATTTAATCTTAGTTACCAAAGAATGAGGTGTGTGCACTTCTAACTCTGAAGTGTGCCATTTAGAAGTATTTCCACAGTATGGCTCAGTAGATGGACCATTTTACAACAGAAAGCTTTAAACATTAATGCACAGTATACTGAATAAGCACCTCTGAAAACATGACAATAGTTATGTGCTATTAGACATGGAGCTATAAACCGCATCCAACACTTTTACTTTCCCTTGTGGCTAAAGAATCTGCTGCTTTTAGCACTGATTGCATCACACAAGCTTATACAAGACTTCGCTTAAACGGCTAAAAACTGGAAATGTTATATTCTGCAAGTAACATTCCCCACGGTGTAAAAGGATATGTTAAATTCAATAATCTTAGTTAATGGCCTATGTTTCTAGACTTCTACAAATGCTAGGAAAATTAGACTAACTTTAAGAAAAAAATTATTGTTTAGTAATATTTTAACATGTCATATACACAACTGCAGAATTTTCCCAACTACCTTAGCGATATAACATGCTTCCCTAAACTTTAGTGAAAAGAGAAGCAACTGTTCCATGAAAAGTATATATATGTTTATTCTATTTATTTATTTTACTATTTATATGGTACTAACAATGTTTGAATTTGTGTTTGTTGCTTTTCCACATGCTGGAGTAAGCAATTTTACTGTGCTCTATCTTGTGCAAGAGACAACAAAACTTTAGAAAACCGTCATAAATCTCCTTCTTAAAGCGGCTCTGTCAATTTGCAGATTCTGCTTTAACCCCTTAGTGACCAGACAGTTTCTGAATTTTCTTACCGTTAAGGATCAGGGCTGTTTTTACATTTCTGCGGTGTTTGTATTTAGCTGTAATTTAGGACTTTGCGGTCTCAAAATATTTATCAATAGTGACATTGTAACACTTATCTGTCTTAAATCCCTGAATCACACCTCACAGTCACATATTTCTTTAAAGTAGACAACCCAGGGTATTCAATGTGGGGTATGTCCAGTCTTTAGTAGCCACTAAGGCACAAACACTGGCCAAAGTTGGCATTTATATTTGTGTGTTAAAAATGCAAAAAACGTGATACGGGACTTGACCTCCAACATGGCCGGACATGTTTGCCTGTAGCTCCCCACGATCCGGGCCATAACGACGCGAAAAGAGCACTTATTTAAACGAAACGTGCTTTGCAAACTATAAGTGGACACTCTAAAGCCAAGCAGACCTTGCTGAAACCGAATCGAAAAGTCCACTGGACTTCACGTCTGAGGCCTACTGCACCTGGCATGCCGATGGTGGTGAGACGCGGCCGATCTTCCACTAATAGGTGCGCAACATACAGCTCAGAGCCCCATTATGTCCCCCCAACTCCCCAACACACGAAGGGCGGTACAGAACAGACGGCGGAGGCCACAACTCCTGCAATCCCGCAGAAAACCTTCCACAAAGCCGCGATACCATGCGCCAGCATGGAGAAAATCCATACAGCCCTTCACAACCCAGCTCAGAGCACAAGACTTCCGCTATCGGTGGCGGTCATGGCGGATACTTCAAATACAGCGAGGAGATGCTACTTACTTGGTACAAACCCTGCAACAAGCGGCTGACATAATGGAAACCTTGAGCCTCCCAAGGAACTCTTTATCATTGCCCACAACGAGAGGGACCTCTACGGCGCAGCACCTGTGGGACCGGACACGGGCTGCCCCCCTGTAAACCACCAAAGGCACGCCCCATGGATACCAGAATGATATCCTCCTCCAGATTAGCTCTCTAATCAGATGCTAGTTTAATGCTGCTCGGCACCCTGTTTTTTGCTGGTTTCTTTTTTTATTTATTTAATTTTTTGTTATTTTATTACTCATATGAGCATGTTAAGTTATGGAGAGTTCATAGCTATGGCTGTTCCCAACCCCCGCCTCTGCAAAATAATGCATTAACAACCACAGGGCAATGCAGAGGCGTAAACCAGCCCTAAGGCTATACGCCTGCCACCTTACGCACCCGCATGACCACTGATAACCGAGACCAGGCTATAGCCCAAGCACCTTGCCTCAACATCTAGCATACAGCGCATTACAATTTAATTCTAGGTTTGTACCCACTATTTTACATTACCCATGGCAGGAGCCCCCCAATCTACGCCACTAAGTCAGACAGTCCCCCCCAAGACCAGGAGAAACACTGATCGCCGGCGGGGGAACGGCAGCAATCAGGTAAGTAAGAAGGACTGCGAGGTTGTTAAGGAAAGTTTTTTTGTCAGCCGTACCTTGTACGTCCCTGGTCTTTAAAGTAATCCTTTTTTGTCCCTTCATTTCCTTGTTTTTATATATTTGTTTTTATTTTTACATAAGAAAAAGTAGGGGGTAGAGCTTAAGCAAAGTTTAATTTCATTTGCTGAACCAATTCACCCACAGACAGTCAACAGAATCCCAAAGGAGGGCAAACTGCAGACTTCACAGACAGAAGAACAAAATGGAGGTCTCCACAGTGCTGTATTTTGGATTTGTGATGCCCTATGCACCACCCCGCAATCTAATTTGCCCCACAGACACACAATGACAGACACATACATTCACTGACATACATACATTCACTCCAAGGCACATTGACAGACACAGACAAAAACTACCTCGCCCTGTCCATCATGCTGCATCACTCACTTCCTCTCTGTGCTCCAAACAAATGCTTCTCATAAAGAAGCATTTGATTTGACCGTTCTCACAGAAGGGGAGGAAGTGAATTAGGGGAAAAAGAAAGAAAATTGACAAATATGTAGAAAGAGAGGCAAGAAGTGCTGGTAGGAGATAAAAGTAGCTTCCCCTTGCAGGTGCACTCCCAGCTCTGCCTGCAAGCGTAAAAGCTCACTACAGAGTTCACATGTGCAGGAAATGTTATTCTCCTCAGCACAAAAGTGCAGATATATCGGCCTTTGCAGCTTTTATAGCAGAATTGCTGCACATACAGTTTACTTCACCCATGAGCACTTCGAAAAGCAGAAGTGGTCACGAATGTTGGGGAAAACCTTTAAGTTTCATTAAATGTAATACTTTTTTTTTTTAAAAATGATAAGTGAAAATTTGATGACCGTTGACCTTTAGCAATTTACATTAATGTTAAATTCATGTTAATTAGCAGAATCCCTGTTAGGATGTTCGAGCTATAGCCGTTATCCCCTTGGCACTGTGCCCTGGTGCTGTATTAGACTAATTCAGGAGCCTGATGCAAACCAAGAGTCCCCCAGGCACCCATGGTCTAGCCCCACGGACACCATTTTACTACTGTGTAAGTTACACTTCCGCATTAGCAATATCAATTTTTTTCCATAGAGGGACAGCATACACTGCTTGATTAAAACAGATGACTTGGTCAATCAATGAATGCAGACTAAATTTGGATGAAACGACCGTTCCTAATGTGGAATTGTGGTTTCCACAACTGCATTATGCCAAGTGAGGGGGAGGCCTTCAGCACCTACAAGATCCTATGTTTGTGTTAAAACACTAAAAACTTATGGCACAAAACGAGGGGCAACACCAAGGGTAAGATAACACCATAACCAGGCTGTAATGGTGCTTATCATCTGTCTTTAATAAACTGGGTTGTAGAGACAAATGAAATACAAATAGAAAATAGATTTCTCAGAAAAAGAGGACCGCAGATGATATTCTAAGGGTGGAAGGTAGCCAAGCTTTATGGAAGAGGAGGGCGAGTTGACCATCATTCAGAAAAAATAGTCTCCCAGTATAGATGGTGGTAACTAAAACAGATGGACAAATCAATCTAGAGTGCCTGGAACAGACACTGAACAATCCTGAAACATGAAAGCCAGACATTGACTTTTTCCTTTAAAAAAAATTATATTTATATATAAATAACGAATAAATCAAGCCACTAACTGCTATCCTGGTTAGCAGCCTTGCTGACAACATTTCAAGGGAGTATTTGCTCCCACTTGATAAATCCTACTCCGTGTTCTGCACAGGCAGGAGAAAGTTGCCATATATGAGCATCAGTCTAAGAAAGGTAAATACAAAGCAAACGAAAAACACACAACACATTAACACTACCTTCACCCTGACCACTGATGGCTTAAAAAAAAAAAAAAAAAACACATCTCAAGTCATACTGTATCCATAGAAAATGCTTTTCCTTAATATTATTCCCAATATATTCCTTAGTATACATGATATTTGCCTGTTCCCAGAAAGGGTGGACTCCCAAGGTTCTTTTTCTTTAATCCTTTATGAAATAAGTTTAACGCAGTACTTATCAATGTATATCATTTGAGCGAGTACGGAACGGTTCTGATTCTAAATGTTGTTTTGGGAATGTCATCTGGTAGCTGTGTATGTATAATTGCTTTGTACATGTGACATGTAATTGCTGCCCATCGGCACCTTTTAATATGTATATATATTCCTGATGGTCAATTTCTTAAATAAAGAATTGTATTTATTTACGGTTTTTAAATGCTTTTCCTTAAACAGGAAGAAGACTCAAGGATTCACATGTTTATTTATATTACTATTTTATTTATATGTATTTTAGTCTACATTTTGCCATTCATATTTCAATTAGCTACAATTTGGAGCCTACTGAATATAAGATTTGGACCAAAATAGAAGATTTGTAAACATTTTTAAATGTTTTCAATTTGACTAATTCAGTCCCAAATTGTAAATTCATGTGGTATTTCCAACAAATTACACTTAATTGAATAACCCTTTCAATACACTAAATTATATCTATGTATGTTAAAGAGTGTTGAAAGACAATTCCTTTAAGGATAAATTTGCAGTGAGTAGATTCCTTATCTATCCGTAGCCCCATCTTCTTCTAGATTTCATTTACTGAATTTTTGTTAAAAATAATTTAACATACACTTGTATGGTGTATAAAAGCTCACTTCAAATTCATAGTTCCCAGATTTGTTTTGAAGTCTTGTCATAGGCTTGTGAACACAGGTTCTATACACAAACAATGCTTTATTGCACCATATCCACTAAAGTCCGCTCTAGCAGTTATGGTGCCAGGAGTACCATGGTTCCCTCCTAGTATAATTTGTCAGAACAGTTTAAGAAAAGTTTGAACGACATACAGTACATGAGTTCGCCAGGTGCGGGACCTCATCCTCTTTTCCTTCAGGAGACGCTGGATGTCTTCACAAAGCTAAGCATTGTCAATACAGATATGCGTGCCCTACATAGCTCAGTGGAATTATCCAGATACCCATACAAGGAGAATCTAGAAGAAGGGTTTACTGTGAGTACCCAGGTAAATTGTTCTGAAATAGTTTGACAAATTATTTTGGGTAAGTATTGGGCTATAGTGGTTATGTTGCTTGCAGTGTTCCTAATAAGACTACAAAAATTAGGCGAGATGTTTCGCTAACAACTATCCCTCTTGGTATTTGGTTCGATGAAGGGACTGGGCTTTCTCTGGTCCAGTTATCAGTAGACAAGGAGGTTTAGGGAAGGTGTTGGGGCCAATGGCCAGGCCTTTATCCAGTATTCATTCTATGCCATCAACAAATATAGTGGAGGAATAAATAGGAGCCGTTTACTGGGTCTATAATCTGTATCCAGCATACAAGGTAAAGAAAGATATGGCCATTTAGTGAACCCCCTGGCTAACCGTTGGGTCCTATAGCTGAAAGCTATTTTTCTTGCAGGACAGTTTGGCATTAGAAAATCCTATTTTGACATACAAATGTAGCAGCAACAGAAACATAAAAGGCAACAATGTTAAAGGGACACTATAGTCACCCAGACCACTTCAGTTCAATGAAGTGGTCTGGGTGCCAGGTCCCTCAGGTTTTAACCCTTCAGATGCAAACACAGCAGTTTCAGAGAAACTGCTATGTTAACATTTGGGGTTAATCCAGCGTCTAGTGGCTGTCTTCCGGACAGCCACTAGAGGCGCATCTGCGACGCTGGAGGCATATTATGCCTCCATCTCGCAGAGCGTCCATAGGAAAGCATTGAGAAATGCTTTCCTATGGACACTGTGAATGCGCGTGTGCTCCGCTGACGTCGGCAGAGGGAGCTGAGGTCAAGGATTAAGGTAAGTAATTGAAGGGGTTTTAACCCCTTCAGTGCCATGGGAGGGGCACCCTCAGGGCACTATAGTGTCAGGAAAACCGCTTTGTTTTCCTGACACTATAGTGATCCTTTAAGTAAACAGATCCCATTGTCTATTACGGATTCTTAACATTAATTTGACCTTAGTCAATTAGGCTTACATTTAATGTTATATATGATGGGCTCAGTTAGACACAAAGAGAGACATATTAGGTTTAAAGGAGCTTAAAAGGGTACTCCAAGCAACATAACAAAAAGTTATAAAACAAGGACTCTAGGCGCATTATCCTTCAAACAGTTTTATGTAAAGGAACACTAAAGTGTTAGGAATACAAACCTGTATACCCAATGCTTTAGTGTTCCTATCCCTAGTTACATAATCCACCCCCAAGTGTCCCATAAAAATATTTTTTTCCAGTACTGAGACTCAATCTGCTTACCTCTCCTCCTCCTGCGTTGTCATGGAGGAAGCATGGCCTTCTCCAGTGGTGTCCAATCTAATGTTCCTCATAGGGAACTAATGCTTTCCAATAGGGAATTCCCCATCATGTGATCGCCTTTTACTCACCTGTGCAGCAGTCCTCCAATGGCTGTTACAGGTGTGTTTAACTGATCAAGATAAACATTTCCGTTTCTGCAAAACAGCAATATTTGACCTTGACTGGTTAAAATGACAGGACCATTGAGATTAAGTGGTTTGGGTGACTTTAGTGATCCTTTAACTGTAGAGCTGTGCATAATTCTTTGCTGCTGTAACTCTGCCTTTCTAGTGCCCAAAAGGCAGAAAAGGAATGTATACTTCCTCTTCTGCTTGTCCAAATGTTTGTACCACTTGCACCTACTATTTAAATCCCCAACTCCCAAATGACACCTTCGCAGCTTACTGTCAAAGACCACGAGCTGTGGTCACATTATAGTGCCTGACTGTACTAGATCTTGCAGGGCAGGAGTTTATGTTTAGCTCCCATGAAATAAAAAAGAGCCTCCTGCATGGCTGAGCTATTTCCTTGTTTGGGAAGAACTCAACACAAAAACGTAAATATTGAGCAAATTCAGGAATACCTGCATACTTCTTAAAGTATTATTCGTATAATGCATGAAAGATTAGGGTTCACTTACAGCCTGGACTATCGCTTTAGGCTGTGGTGAAGTATCTTTACCAGGATTTATATTTTTCTAACTGATACTGTAGATTTGAGGGCTCTTCCTACAAGTTTAAAATCTACATTATTGCAGCGATTGCATGTTAATTGTAAAAATACCATTACCAGCTTTTTTACAGTATGCCAAATAATTGCTACTTGCAGTGTTTTCAGCCACCTCATAATAAATCTTGCTTTATTACTAGTTTAGAAACATCACTTGCCTGAGCAGGTTTTTTTTTAATCATTTGTAATCATACACTTATAGAGCCTTTAATGATACCCATTTCTGACAATTCTCCATGCAGGAAAACCTGTTAAAAGGATAAGTTGTGGCTAAAGAGTATGTCCTCTAAACCAACTTCCACTACAGTAAAACAAGCAGGGAAAATATATATTTTTTTAAATCAATACAAATGCGACCTTTTCCTCTATAAAGATGCATACAGCAAAAACATAAACAAACACATAGTACCGGCTAATTTTTGTAAATCTTATTTTTATGCTCATTTTTGTTTTCACCCATTTTTTAGCTGTGCACAATATTTTTCTATGCTTGTCCACCTTAAAGTAATAGACGTCCTGACGAAAATTACACCATTCGTTTAAAATGTATTTCTTGTTTGCCTTGTCAATGTAACCAGACAATTTCACTAATATGTATTGTTACTATAAATCATGTTGATCTATTGGTGGAACTAGTGTTGTATTTATGGCACATCTGTGTCTATTTAAAATAATAATGTTACAAAAACATAATTGAAACAAAATGCATAGAAAGTAAATAGATAAAGATACAAATTATGCTACAGGCATGTTCCGCAAAGCAGCAAATTTAAAGGAACAGTCTAAACACAAACGCCACTACAACATAACGTAGTGGTTTTGGTGCATGGATGCCGTCCCTTTTCTCTGACAAATGTAAACACTGCTGTTGTACCTCTAATTGAAAAACGGTGCATTTGTAAAAGAAAAGCAATGGTATCTATGAATACATTTTAACAGAGCCAAGTTTGTACAGCAAAAGTGGATCCCAGAAGTGGATCCTCATTCACCACTGACCTCGAACGGTAAGGAGCAAGGTAGGGGTGTTCCTTAAGTAGGCCAGTAGTGGATAACAAGCACCTCCCACAATTACAGGCCAAATTGCCTTAATACACACACACACACATATATATATATATATATATATATATATATATATATATGTATTAAGGCAATTTGGCCTGTAATTGTGGGAGGTGCTTGTTATCCACTACTGGCCTACTTAAGGAACATCCCTTACCTTGCTCCTTACCGTTCGAGGTCAGTGGTGAATGAGGATCCACTTCTGGGTTCTCTCAGATGCCATCTTGGTTTTCACTATCCACGAGTTTTTTCCGCGGCAAGCTGTGTCCAGGAATCCTGTTACAGGCCTTTCCTTCCGTCCGTCCGTCCAGCCTCTCCTGACCCCGGTCATCATTGTAGATCACGTTCCAGGGACTCCTAAAACGTAAGTTAGACCTACCTGTCACGCCAGGATCAGTTGCCACGGCGTCCGGTACAGCATGGGTCCTCGCTTTACGGTTTATTCCTGTTATGTTGCAAATTCAACAAGCCGTTCGCGGAATCATTTTGAGCAATATTCGGCTAATCTCAGTATGTTCGTTAAAGGTTGTCATTTCGCCTAAAGCTGTTCTGTGTTTTCAGCTAAATAAGCTATCCTTTCGGTTGTTTCACCTTTCCGCACTTGTTCATGATATGCTTAAGCACGCTTGCCTGTTCGCATAAAATTTCATAAATATAAACTGTTCGTTTCAGTTTATGTTTTCCCTTGCCATAGGGTTTTCGGTTTTCTTGCTAAAATTTATTTCACATAAATCCTTTCGTGGATTACATTCATCATTTCATGTATATACCATTCGGTTAAACGATTTGCTTTGCTTAATAGATATAGATTAATTCTATTACTGTTTAAAATTATCAGAATTGTATTGGTTTCCATAACAAACCAGCTCACATATCTGTATGGATCATTTGACTCCCACGCTTTCAGGGGTTTTCCATACTTATCCATTTCAGTCAAGTTTTGTTCAGCCTAAAGTTACAGGCCTCATTTCTGTGTTTTAAACTACGACACAACAGATACATAAGGATACGGTTTCCTTTTCCAAGTAATGAATTCTCGGGTTGAATCACACGTACTGATCCAACCAACCATATGTTCTTTACATTACAGTAATATTATATACAACTTTACATCATCACTTTAGAGAATTGTTTTCATCCCTGCCCCTTTTTGTCGTTAATTATATATCAGCATAGTGCATTTACATATAGGCCACGGCCTCCCCCACCCCCTCCTCTTTTCTCACTTGACACCCATCATACATCCCACCTGCTTATAGCCAGAATTTTGGCATTAAAAGACACTGCATCACCTGGCCTTTGTAGCACATTTATGTTGTCATGGTATTTACTACACTTTCCTGGCATTTACCAATTAAAACTCCACAATCAAACCCTTAAAACACACCTCTGGTACAGGCTACACAGTCTACACCATTCCCACACAGACCACACTCACTATATTACCTTTTTCACCCATTTCAGGCTTTCCAGGTTTATATATTTCACCATACGAATTCGCTGTGAGATATTTCATACTACCAGGTACGTACACCTGCTCATATCGTATTCTGACATACATTTCATCCCCCCCCTAGGTTAGAGTACTGGCAATAGGGTCACAGGCTCCCCAATAAGTATTTATCCCTTCTTGGCATTTGCCATCGGTTAGTGGTCCCGCAAGGCCAACACCCCGCCTCAACGTTCGGAGGCAAACACCCATCGGCCACACGTGAGCTAGTCGCCTCGCATGTCGCATAGAAAGGGCCTCACCTGTCACTCCCTTTCCCTGTTTTTTGTTATAGTGACTGAGAGGCCTAAAATCCTGCCACTACGACGGGTGGCCTTGAATCCCCTCGCGCCAACGCATAGATAGAGCCTCTCAAGCCACTTGGCAACTAGTAGGGCCTCACCTGTAACCAAACAAGTGTAATGTTTCGCCATCCGGCTTAGCTAGCCTGCCAGTACGATCTTGTCGGTTTTCATACACTAATTAATTGTTTTGTTTTTAGTATGTCTCAGGAAGGGGTAGAGGACTTCTCCCTGCCTAGCACTCCGACTAGAGCAATTACTCCTACACAAGGAGGAGAGGTAACTAGTCCAGCATCAATCAGATCCTGGATGATCCTCATATAACCACTGAATTGAGGAGACGGCAAATCCCCTACCCCGCTACAGCAAGGAAAGCAGAGCTTTTCAAATTATTACGTACTTCGACTAACAACATGGATGCTGGGGAAGGGCCCAGCCAATCCAACCCAGGAGACATACATTCCATGTTGTCATCACTCATGGCGTCCATGAGCAAGGTCAACTCCAGGCTGGAGAAACTTGAGTCGGTCACCACGGCCCTTACCCTAGCCGGGCCACCCGCTGTTGCTTCCCCAGCACCAGCCGACTTGCTATTAGTTGCTCCAGCTATCACATAGTAGGACCAGGAAGTTAGCCCTGCTCATATGATCCCTGAGCACCTAAAAAGAGATATCCTGGAAGGTAAAGACGTCAACCTGGCTTCTCTGCTGATTGCCTCCCAGGATATTGTGGAGAATAAGACTTATGCTTATGATGATGTGTCTGTTGTGGTCAGATCTAGGGACGCCTGCCTAAACAGGAAATTGACTATTCCCAAGTTTGTACTGGCCTTTGGTATTTACCGGGATGTCATCTGTGCGGCCTATCCCAATAGACGAGAGGAGTTTGATCTTTATATGCACAAGCTGGTAGACCTGGGAAACAAATATGGTGGATCAGCCTTCTATGACTACCATAGGTCTTCTTCTGCAAAAGTGTCTGGGGCCTTCTCCCATTATGGAACAAGATCCAACTGGGGAAGGATCGATAGCATCATATTTTGCAGACACTTTGCAGGTCTAAGAACACCGGCTGGTGCATACTGCTCCTCTACGGCACATACGACAAATTTCTGTCCCAACGCAGCGGACGAATATGCCTCCACGCAAGGAGCTAGTTCCTCTGGTGTTCAGAGAAATTGACCAGAGACAAACTGGGACGCCCGATCAAGTTTCTGGGCAAGTCCCAGATATGTAATAATTTCAATGTTGGGTCTTGTAATTATAGCAGTTGTAGATTATTGCATATCTGTTTAAAATGTTTTAGGGCACATGCCAAAACCATGTGTCCAAATAAAATGTATTCTAAGCCTTACCTAACGTCCATTAACATTTCGGTATTTACAGCATTTCTGTCACATCACCCGTCTAAACACTTGGTAGATTTACTTAGGTCTGGTTTAACAGAAGGCTTCCACACGGGTATTCTACACATACCATCCGGGATTCTGGAATGCCCTAATCTACAATCCGCACAACACAACCAAACAGCTGTTGACACTCTCATAACCCAAGAAATTGCTGAGGGTTTCTTATTGAGGCCTTTCAAGTCTCCTCCGTTCAAAGAATGGCGCACTAACCCCATTGATATTGTCACAGGGAAATCTTCCCTTAAACAGAGACTCCTCATTGACCTGTCTGCACCACTCTCATCGGCTAACCCCAGAATCAATTCCCTCATACCCTCCGTGGAATTCTCCCTGCAATACACTACCATAGATCACGCCATTACAGCTATCATACAAGCAGGGGTCGGAGCATGGCTTAGTAAGACCGATGTTACTCACACCTTTAAATTGCTGCCAACCTACACTGTGGCACCTGCATGGCATCAAGTGGTCCGGAAACTACTATTTTTTCTCCCGTTTAACTTTTGGGTCCAAAAGTAGCCCGGCTATTTTCGACACATTTGCCGAAGCATTGTGCTGGTTATTATTGAACATAGCCAGATGCCCTACGGTATTACATTACCTGGATGATTTCTTATTGGTCGAGGAGAACACTTCCCCTCCCAGTAGCTTTTAAGCCACCATCAATCTATTTGAACAGCTAGGGGTCCCATTCTCCCCAAAGAAAACTGAGGGGCCAGACACGATTATCACATTCCTGGGTATTCAATTAGACTCAACCACGATACAAGCAAGCCTGCCACACGACAAGATAGGAAACATTCTGACCTACATCAACCACTACCTTCAGCTCGGTCCCTGCTGGGTTCTCTAAATTTTGCCATGCGTATCATACCTCAAGGCTGCTCCTTCATATCACGACTCTTGTATCTATTTCCACTCTTCCTACACAACACACACAGGTTGTCCTTAGATACTCAAGCTACGGCAGACTTACGCATGTGGAAGAAATTTTTAACCACTTGGAATGGTAAAAGTATGTTCCTCCCTCAATTAACTGACTCATCACTTACCATTTGGTCAGATGCGGCATCTACCACAGGTTTCGCAGCAATTTTTGGGAACGAATGGCTTTGGGGCAGCTGGCCTACAGCAGTTCAGGATTTGGAGGGTTTTTCCACTACCTCAGCTCTCTGAGGTCTATCCCATTGTGGCGGCTGCCGTAGCATGGGGTCATTTATGGGTAAACATGCCAGTACGTTGCTAATCAGATAACCAGGCAACCTGTCACATCAACAAAGGTCGTTCCAAATCCCTTACTTACGATCATGAGATTTCTGAGGAAACTCACTTGGTTGGCAGCTTGTCATAATTTCTTCCAGTATTGTTTCCATGTTCCAGGTATATGTAACACAGCTGCTGACAGTTTGTCTCGTTTTAAATTTCAGGCTTTTCATCAAGCACTCCCATCAGCTGCGCTCACAGCCACAACTACGCCAACTTTTCAACAACTAATACCGGACTAGACACCATTATGAAACATAGCAGGGCACTGTCCCAATTGGCACTGTCAAAAAATACGCACAAAACATACGACAGGGCCTTTACATTATTCAAAAGATTCCTTTCAGAACATAACATCATGCAACCATTTGTCATGACATCTTTTTTGGGGTTCGCTTCTTTTTGCCACCTTAAACTTAAAATGTCATACAACACCATCAAACTTTATCTCACAGGCATTCAACACCATATGCTAACCTTACAACCAAACAACACAAGTTTCATGGCCTCACCAGATTAAGACTATCCTCAGGGGCATTCAGAGATCTGAACCCACACGTACATCACAGAGGCTACCCATAGACAACCATATTTTGAAAGCATTGTCTAACCTGCTTGATTTAAAACCTTTTGACACCAACACAAATTCTGTCATCAAAGCAGCAATCTACACAGCTTTCTTGGATTCCTAAGACCTAGAGAATTCACTACGACCAACGCTACACAATCTACTCCTATTCTCCTCTATTCCCACTTAACAAAACACATGGATCATTACATCCTGACTCTGCCTCACTCCAAAACCAGTCAGCACGTGCCAGTAAAAATAGCTTACTATCCCACGCACAACAGGTGGTGCCCCGTCACGATTCTTGATGCATACATACAGCATCATAACTTACTACCATCACAACCATTATTCACACTACAAAGTTCGATACTCACCACTACAACCTTTATTACCTACGTCAGGTCTTTACTCACTCAACTGGGCCTCAACCCAGCTAACTACTCAGGGCACTCCTTCTGCATAGGGGCAGCGTCCACAGCCTCCAGTGTCAACATTCCAGTTCATGTTATAAAAACACTGGGGCGCTGGAAATCATCCGCTTATTCACGGTACATACCGAACCCAGTACAAGAATTAAGGGATGCTTTCAAAAACATGCCTGGTTGATATGTGTATCTGTATTGGTTGTCTGTAATAAATTTGATTACTTCATTTTTGCCCTCTTCTTTCTCAGGCCTACCTCATCGTCAGTTCTGGCACACCACAAGCGACTTGCTCTTTTTACTATCCTTCATTTCATTAGGGTATTTTTACTCTGTACTATCATGAGCACCTAACACAAGTATTAAGGCAGTTTGGTCTGTAATTGTGGGAGGTGTTTGTTATCCACTCCTGGCCTACTTAAGGAACACCCCTTACCTTGCTCCTTACCGTTTGAGGTCAGCGTTGAATGACCCTCCCACCACACCACATTATAACATTTATTTTCCTTTTTCATTTCTTTTCCTTGGCAAGCCTACTCTGTACTATCATGAGCACCTAACACAAATACATACATATATATACATATACATATATATATATATATATATATATATATATATATATATATATATATATATATATATATATATATATATATATATATATACATACATACATATACACACACACACCTAAAATATATACTTGTATTTATTTACCTATTTCAATATGCACAACCTTTAATATTTTAAGACATATTGCGTTGTACCATAGTCTTCAAAAGGGTTAAGAGTAGAGCAGAGAGTTACTTTTTGAATTGCCAGTTTACACTAAAGGAATGCAGAAATAATTGGGCAACACCAAAAGAGCAGAAAGCCAAGAGCAAAGTGGAATGACAGTCTGTCACATTCAACATTTCAGTGCCTAAGGTTGGCAAATTGGATAAAGTAATATGTGAAAAATTTCATCATGTCACGGCTTGTAGAGAAATTCAGAGGATTTTTATTTTTGAGCTTCATATTCTATTACTTTCAACAAAACTGAATTCCACTGACTTCCTACAAGACCTTAAAATGGGCACATATCACCTAACCTCAAAGGGCCCGATAACATAGCTGCAGCACTCTGGATCACGTGTGTGTTTACACAGCCTAGCAATTAGATGCTGTGTGCAAATATCTTCCAATAAATTGTTTCTCAAACCTTTTTTTCAACAAACCAAGGTAAGAACTTAGTCGATCCAGAAGCAGGCATTAACCATTTGCCTGATTAATGTAAGCAGGCAGAGTGCTTTGAAAACATTAAAACTCATTACATTATTTTTGGCAGGTAGCAGGCTATTAGAGGTAAAATGAATTGGTACAGCCATACAGAGGATCACCATAGACTACTACATAGTGAACTGGATGGTACCATTGCATAAGTGCCTATATCTAGCCGTTGTTCCATGCATTCACTGCAAAGAAACAGGATTTCATCTAAATCTGTAACTCCTAAAGAAGTCTGCAGAACCCTTGGTGCTACATAGATTTAATAGCCGAATCAACAGGTTCTTATCAGCATCCACACCTTACACATTAGTGAATACTTTCTATTCAAATGTTAGTTTTTGCAAATTAATTTTTCAGAAAAAATATAGGGGAAAGCAACAATGAGAAAGGGAACATTGAGATATCCTCTCCCCCCCCCCCCAAATTAGTGAATACTTTTATTAATCATTTTTTGAAAAAAAAATTCCACATCTGGTTTCTCCTTAAAAATGTGTGCTCAACTACATCTTGTTAGTTGATCTGGCTGCTGCTCAATATATTTTTTATTTGCATTGAATAATGCATTCTTTATTTCTACACTCACCTGTTTTCTCTTCTTTCACTGCTCCACAAACTTTTTATTATTTAATTAAACTTACGTTTAATTATTTGTTTTAATCCTATATTTTTTTTTTTTTGGTTTAAAAAATGCAAACATGAGGCTCAAAATACTGGTTCACAATGTTGATACTTTGTTTATGCTTTGTTTTTTGATTGCATGGTTAAAAATAAAGCAACGTGAATGCTACATGCATTTAATTATGCATTTTTACATTGGGATATTTCTTAAAAACAGCTTACAAAACCTGAAGATCTCTTTTCTGGTTTGGTTTTTAAGTGGTTACATTTAAAAAAAAATAATTTGTAGTACATTTAGGTGATGGTTTTCTAAAAAAACGAAACAAATTATGTACAATTGATCCACATCAGAGCAGACAAGAAACCTATTGAGAATATGCTGTTAACTGGTAATATTCAGCTAAATATACCACAAAAGCTATAACCACATATTAGGGCTGTAACTGTATCCAATGGTGCTCAGTAGATAGAAGACTTACTGTGCAAATAATTTGCAAACCAGCTGTCTATAGATTTTCTTCAATCTGTTTTTTGTCTGTGTTAAATAAAATGAGTTGAAAATAAGGAAATGGTTGGCATCACGCAAACGGCCATGAGTCTATACCCCAATACAGTTATGAACAATGTACATAATTTGTGAATAATTGCCAAATTGCTTGATCAATATCAAGACTGCATTGAAAAGAATGCAACTACAATAAATTACACTGTTTTTGAGCAGTCTGACATCTTACATGTCAAATGGCACTATTCACTGGGCACCTAACTTTACTTAAAGAAACATTTCCTAAAATATACCATCAAATTTCAAAGTGTATTGAACTGAATCTTGAGGCGCCAGGGACCTCTGGGCATCCTAACAACTTAATTTCAATAGCGTTGTTATGGTGCCCATACAGTTCCTTTACGTCTTCAAGATACCTCATCAACAATCAAAGTTTCCTGCTGAGATTTTCTTCCAATGTGGCATGTATAGGTTTCATTTACTTATTTTACAAACTATACAACTTTTTTTTTTTTCCTCCAGGAACAATATTGCTTTTGATTCTCAGTGGCTTTTCCTCCTGTCTTACATAAGGTCTTGCAATGCACAGATTTCTCAAACTTCGAACAATGCAGCACTGTACTGTATGCTATGTAACTTTGCAAATGCTCTCTGATACACTCTCTGCTAATCAAGAGGTTAATAGATACATGAAACCAGGAATGGAATTTGTTTTGCGCTCTGATGAAAGATGCAAAATATGCACAAAATACTGACATTAGGCAGCCCAGAATTCAGTTTGGGGCTGCCTAAGTCACGTGTGCTGGGGTGCAACTAGCCAAAAGCACACAATTAACAATAACTCAATATGTGCAGTGTTTCAAGAAAAAACACTGCTCATACATACTCGTATCTTCTCATCCTTCGTATTCTCGATCTACAAGATATTGCGCTCTCCTGGTGCTCCTCCTACCTCTCCCAGCGCTCTTTCAGTGTTTCTTTCTCTGGCTCTACTTCTTCTCCCCAACTCCTCTCTGTTGGTGTCCCCCCAAGGTTCAGTCCTTGGTCCCGTACTGTTTTCCATCTATACTGCCCCCCTTGGTAAACTCATTAGCTCATTCTGGTCTTTCCTCCCTCAAGTGTTGCTACTCCTGTGTCTGTCTCCCTCCATGTCAACGGTGCTAACATCAGCTCCACCATGCAGGCTCGCTGCCTAGGTGCTCTCTTTGACTCCAACCTCTCCTTCATGCCTCATGTTCAGTCTATCGTCAAATCCTGCCGCTTCCATCTCAAAAACATTGTGCGCGTCCGATCCTACTTAACGCCAGATGCGACTAAGATGCTGGTCCATTCTTGCTTTGAAATCTCTACAAAATGCTGCTCCCACCTATATATCCTCCCTAATACACAAGTATGTCCCGTCTAGGCCCATATGCTCTACTGAAGACTTACATCTATCTTCTGTTCGTACTCCCACCTCTGATGCTCGCCTTCAAGTCTCCTCAAGGGCTGCACCGTTCCTATGGAACTCACGTCCCTCTTCAGTTAAATGCTCTCCCAGTCTCCACTCCTTCAAAAAATCATTAAAAACCCACTTCTTCATAAAAGCGTATCAATTAAACTGTTAATAGCGCCCGACTGATTCCTCTCTTGCAACTGTCATTTAGTCTAATACTATCCTTACCTTTCGTGTCACTTTACCCCACTCCTCTAGCATGTAAACTCATTGAGCAGGGCCCTCAACCCCTCTGTTCCTGTGTGTCCAACCTGTTTGGTTACAACTACATGTCTGTTCATCCACCCACTGTAAAGCTCTGCGGAATTTGTTGGCGCGATATAAATAATAACATAATAATAATAACCATGACCACTTCAAATCACTTTATGATATAAAATAATTTACTTTAGGAACATTTTTGTTTCTTTTTATTAATGTGCTGTCCCAACTCTTTTCTCAAATCCTTTCACACACTTGGAAAGTAGAAACTTAAAGACACACTATAGTCACCAGAACCGCTACAGCTTACTCTGGTGGTTCTGTTGTCTATAGCATGTCCCTGCAGGCCTTTCAGTGTAAATGCTGTCTTTTCAGAGAAAAGGTCAGGTTTAAATTGGTGGCCAATAACACCTCTAGTGTCATTCACCCAGACAGCCACCAGAGGTTCTTACTAGTTTAGTGCTGTGAGAAGCACCTACGTTCATGCTCTGCATGGAAATGCTGAATGCTCCACATAGAGATGTACTGATTCAATCCATCTCTATGAGGAAATGACAACTGGAGCAGTGTGGCATTTTGCAGCACATGCGCAATAGCCGCACAATACTATCCTATGGGAAAGCATTTGTTTGGCTTAGATCATCAAGACTGATTATCACAGTCAGGAAGACAGAGCCAGTCGCGATGAGACCGGCATGGTGATGGGGAAAAGGAACATTTAAAACATCTTTTAACTCATTACTAAGGGAAACCAGGGACCTAAACTGCTACTCCAGCACTATAATGTTAGGAATGCATATTTGTATTCCTAACACTATAGTTTTTCTTTAACCCCTTAAGGACACATGACATGTGTGACATGTCATGATTCCTTTTTATTCCAGAAGTTTGGTCCTTAAGGGGTTAAAACAATACACTTAACCTTTAGGTGGATCTCACAGAGAGCAAAATTTCAACATACAGAAAAAAAAAAAAAAAAAAAGACTATGAATTTAAGTAAATGTTACAGTTGTTATGGTACCAAGACTATATGGCGCTATTCGAAAGTAAGTAGTAAAACCTTTTTAGTATGATTTGACAACTTACCTGGGCCTGGTGTCCGCAATCATACCTGCTTCTGCAGGAGAATACTGTTATTCTACTGAGGTAAGCAGGGTCATATAAGCCTGCCCTCATTGGCTGACCGCATCAGCTGAACACTCTCAGCCATTGAGCACAATCCTGGACCAGCTGCGCTTTATTCTAGAGAGACATGTGCCTTTTCTTTAGCAGAAGAAGACTGAATTCTGTCTGCACAGCTGAAGATCCACATATGTTGTCAATCCATACTAAAAACAGTCTGACTACTTGCTTTGGGACAGCACTAGGGCACTTCTTTTACTATAACCCCGACAATAGGATGCACTGATCATGGTGTTTGGATTGTTCCTTTAACAGACACCATGGCTATATCCACAAGATCAACCTAATCACGTGTCAAGTCTAAAAGCACAGTCCTGAAAAATAAAAAATTTAAAGAAACACTCGAATGTAAACAAGAAACATAAAACATTTTTATTATACGTGGTCTTTTAAAACTGTAGATTAATAGGCTCCCACCTTATGAACCATTATAAAAGCCATTAAACTTACCTGCAACTCAGTGCCAAGCCAGCTCCATCTTGTAAGCTTGATATGCCTTTATGGAAACTGCAAAATGTAAACAGTGCCATTTCTCAGAAATGTCAATGGCCATGTTTTTATTTACAAGGTTGCAGGGGAAGTATCTATGCTCCAAAATCACTTAATTAAGATAATGTGATTTTGGTGCATAGACTGTTCCAATAAATATATCTATAGATTAGTGTGATTTTCACAGAATTGCATCTCTCACATATTAACCATCATTTAATGGGTTATTCAAGGCCCATATTTTTGCTTTTCAAATACAAATTATTATCTTTTTGTACATTTACATGAGAGAATAAGCTTGTGACGGTAGTCACCATCACTGTGAGGATATGTATAATACTTCATGTAGGTCCCCAGGCAACTCTTATGTTTAAGTCACCCTGTGTCCATTATAGGTGCAGGATGTGTATCATAATGTTATTTGGGAATGTCTTGGGCAATCTCCTTTCTGGCTGTGGGGTTTGTGCAGCACCGCCTGTTGGTTGTAAAGGAGTCTGCAAAAGTTATGTGCACTACCTGAATAGGTTAATTTGCATATTCAGGTAGATTTATTGTGAGAATTTATCTTCACCGTCCTTTTATAAAGGTTGCATGGAGAGACCGAGTGGCTTAAATACCAAGTCTGCTATAATAGAAAATATCTCTGTTACCAGATTATATTCATCAACTTCAAAGTTTTCACTTAATAATAAAGAAATAATTTTTTAAACAGACAATAAATAAGAAAATTAGTAACATGTCCAAAACAAACTGGTTCTATTCACACAGAATTGTTTATAATGGCCCAAGCGGTGTGACCTGTGCATTAATCAGCAATTTACAACCAATCTGATTTCCTCCTAGAATTCACCAAGTTTATGGAATTGTGGTGCACCATATGCAGTGAACAACAAGTCTTAAATCCTCAAATATTTATTGAAACTACATAATATGATAGAAGCCTTCAAAAGAAAATGCTCTTCTCTGCATAAACAAATGGAAGAGTACACACAGTGTACATTATTCAAACTGTAGTGAAAGAGGTACATAACTGAGATAAGCCCTTCTACATTTCTATCTCGGGAAACACACTGCTCTTTCTAAGGAGATTCCAAAATAAGGCACTACTTATAATTAATCCTACAGCCACTCTGTGAGAATACACTGCAAACCTTACACAAATGCACATAAAAGGACTCTTACTGCAGTATGAATGTTATAAAATGTTTTCAATAATTTGCTTTGCCTGTATTGGGTTTCAAAATCTCAATAAAAATTATATAACACAACTCCTTTTTATCATCTTGGCAATAGCTCTGTGCAAGGTGTCTTTGGAATTGGTCTTCCCAGTAAGTATCAATTTTTTTTTTCAAGATGTATAAAAAGATGTGGCTCTCCTGGTGGCTAAAGGGATATTGTAGAAAGTTTTGTGCACATGGAGAATCCTGCTTTTTGCTAAATTGCTTGAAAACAGTTTGCTACTTGCCAAGAAAACAAAAACATTAAGGTGTAACAGTTATTACTAAACTTTATTAGTGGTTATGACAGTGTCAGGAATCGTAATGTAAGAAAAGAAGGAAAATAAACAAAAACAAGAAAGAAAAAAAAAACACAAAAAACATTTTGTAAGATACAAGAAGCAAAAGTCAAAGGCACATATATATTTTAACAAGGCAGTTAAAATTTTAAAAATATGTATTTTTTCAAAATTCTTTTCCTAAACCGCTAAAATCCTACCTCTTCTGCAAGTTTTTCAACTAACCTGATCCACCCCCTTTTTGTTCAGTAGAAACTCCATTGTTCTTGCTGGACAGTGTCCTACTAAATGCTTGCAAATAAGCATTGTTGACACACTGATCAAAATTGGAAATTATAAAATAAAGAAATATTAAAAAAACAAAAGGAAAAAGAAAAAAAAATCACACTAGATATTAGTAAACAAACATAATACAATAATAATATATAATTAAACACTGGGTCTTATGTAAATATTATTTGGATAAAAGTATATATAGTGCTGGAATAGGTCCTAAGAACTTTCATCTCACATAGGAGGCTGCTGGCAGTCGTATATGTGTGTAGCAGGCTATAAACAGAGCAGGAGGCAAGAACGTCTAAAGTAAATACACTCTGTGTACTGACTGAATATAGCATTCCAAATTAAGTTGTTTCTTTCACAAGAGTGTATGGAGGTTGTGTGAGTCACAGCTGGTGAGGTGTGGCAAACACTGCCAGAAATGGAAAAATTTTACTAAAAAATGACAAGGACCTTCGTAGTGAGACTGTGTGGGACATGACTGATGTAAGTATACTTAAAAACTACTTCATTCAGCTCAAGCTGTTTTGGTGCTTACACTACCTAACTATTTAATGACAGCAGAGTTACTTGCAAGTTTTAAATGGTCATTATGTGCAAAAGAAACTGAACACAGTAATATGTACATACCTCTCAACATTTCAAATGGACAAAGAGGTGTGACCAGGGGTTTGGCTGTTTTGAGTAAAGTGATTTACCAATTGCAATGTATGCTACTAAAATGCAATTTGGAACAAGATGTATCTTACAATGCCTCTAACCTACACAAAGTGATTTTGAAAACCATTTATTATAGTTTAGGACACTATAGGCACCAGAACAACTACAGACTATTGTATTTGTTATGGTGAGTATACCTCATTCCCTTCAGGCTTTTTGCAGTAAACACGGTCTTTTCAGAGAAAAGGCAGTGTTTACATTACAGCCCAGGGATACCTCCACTGGGCACTCCTCAGATATCTACAAGAGGTGTTTCCTGGGGCAGTGCCGTTTATTGTGCAGCACTGCCATTCAGTGTCTCCACCCTCTGCATGGATACACTGAACTTTCCTCTATTAAGGGAAAACTGATTTGCCAGGGCTGTGTTTGGCTTATGCTGGCTCTAACCCTGATCTGCCTCCCTGACAGTCTCAGCCAATCCAATGCTTTCCTATGGGAAAGTATTGTGATTGCTTTTGATCTGCCTCCTTGGCATATGTTCTGTTGTTCTGAGCCAAAGTCAACAGCAGCAGAGTGCAGTAAATATAAGATTTTGCTATAATTAAGGGGGCAAAGGTGGCAAGGGTGGGGCTAGATGGTGTTTTTAACACTATAGGGTCAGGAATCCATGTTTGTGTTCCTGACCCTATAGTGTTCCTTTAAAAACACATTACTGAGAGCATTTTTTAAATATATATTCTCAGAGACCAACAATATGGAGCTCCTAGAAAAGTGGGATAGTGGGATTTGGGTCTAAAATTGGCACTATTCCTCCTTAACAGGGTCAACTGAGAGGTATTTATTAATTAAATAAATAAAACATTTTTAAAGGGACACTTTAAACACCATCACAACTTGCATGTTCACGATAAATTCTGCTCAACTAATGGGTTATGTATCAAAAGGCATTTACCTTGCACCAGCTGCTTATAAATAAGGCAATATAAGTCCTGCTCTGCCCAAGATTAATTAGCTGCCAACCAGAAATGTAACTCCCACTAATCTCAGGCATCATTGGTGGGAGTTACACAGTTGAACAGTACATGCTGCCATTTTAATGACTGTAGCTGAAATAGCTGCTGCCTTGGACTACAACTACCACTAACCTCGGGCATGTATTATACTATGCAATAAAGACCTTCCCCTTAAGCAGTACACTAACCCTTACATTTCCCTAACACACTACACTATTGCTAAACATTAACCCCTACACTTCACTAACACTAAATATTAAAGGAACACTATAAGCAACATAGCTACCACAACATGATGTAGTGGTTATAGTGCTAGGAGTGCCCTGGCATCCCCTCCATTGTAATGATACCTGGGATCTGCCGTGCACCATTCTCCACCTCCACTACTACTCAATAAAAACCTTTCTTCACTGAGCTGGGGCGAGAGGTGCAGCTGGCCATCTCAGCCAATGCACTAGCCTTGCATTGCAGGGCTTTGCTTAGGAGAGCCAACGGAGAGCTAACAAGACTGAAAGTCACTGGGATTATTTTCCAATAACAGAGTTTAAAAAATACACACACATACACACATATATATATATATATATATATATTTATTTATTATGTGTGTGTACTGTCTTCATTATCCATTCCAAAAACACTTATTTTCAGCATCTAAAACATGAATATCAGTTTATATACCTCTGATATTAAATGTATTTATTTTTTTAATGTATGAGATTCACATCCTTACCACTCCCCCCGCTCAGTTAAATCGGCTTAAGTAAACTTCCTGCTCTCCGTTAAGGCAAGAGAAATGTAAAAAAAAAAAAAAAAAATTACAAAGCTTCCCCCTCCTCCTCCTTTCTAAAATGAAAAACCTCAACAGAATTACTAGAGAAATCCAATCTTTCCTTCATAAACAATTTCCTTCTATTGGTCCCACATGCATGACTCCTCTGCTCCTGAACCTGTTGACAAGCCTACACTATAATACGATCCCACGGCTCAATGAGCAGATATTTATTTCAAACTAAAATTACAGTATTTAACGTTAGGAACAATAGCTGTTTTTGTCACACCTTTACATATACACAGTGTTTGGAGCATAAAATTACTCTAGAGATAAAGCTGAAGTGATTTTGTGAGCTAAACCAATTCACAACAGAGCCGTGTGGCAACAGCCAGACAGCGAGCACAGCAGGTAGAAAAACATATCTCGCAGAAAGAAAAATTACTTTGATGCATGGTATAGTTGCTCACTATTGCACTTGCCAAACAATGGTAGACGAAAAAGTCTTTCCAAACTTAAAATGGATCGGAGATGTTTATTTTTATTTGCATGAACTGAAATGCACAACTTAATCATTACTCATTTATTGTTTCTTTCATCAAACATTCAATGTTATTCACTAAATTGAGAATTCAAAGTGAATTTCAAATTTAAAGGGCACCTGTAATGCCCCAAACCGTTCATGCTCATTGGATTTTATCAATACGTTGTGCAAGCAGCTTTGCTAATAAATGTATAGATTATGAGGGGAAAAAGTATTAAAATTAGGGTTTTTTTCCTAGTTGTCAGTCAATGTCAATGCATTGTAAAGAATATACGATCTACAGTAGGAAGAAAACAAATATCATGGTGTACTATCTAAAACTTCCTTTAAAAGTGGTGTTCAAGTTTGCACTCACTAGAAATAATTTGATTGAAGGCACATCAAAAAGTAAGGTTGACAGAGAATCTTCTCCACGTTATGGGCATGTAGGAGAGAGAAATTATATAATAAGTGTAGACTGTTGGTAACCCAATAATGCGTGGAGCCAAGCAGCCAAGCCAACCGGTCACATGCAGAGCAAGCTCCGCCAGCAAAACTAATTTTCTGAGACAAAATAACCTTTTCACTATGAAAAACCCGGCAATCTACTAGCAGAATATATGCTGCAACTGCATGTACTTTGTCCAGAAGAGTTTTGGAAGCCTGACGTGAAGCCAGAAAGCAGCGCACCACTGCGGCTTCCTGTTTGAGAGGGAGAAGCGGCCGATCTCCCCGACGGGGAGTATAAACACAATCACAGCTCTTGCCCTGCCCCCCCCTACCTCCCCCCAATGCCAGTGGGGGTTACCCTGGCACCAGCTATACGCACCTGGCAGAGAGGCAACCAGTTCTTGCACCAGAGAAGCAGGCAAAGAACCATCACACGAGCTAAAATGGCGGACGCAACAATTTCACCCGCACCACGAGGCTTACTGGAGACGACTAATGCGACTCAACGCTATTTTTGAGGAATTCTGGCTGAAACTGAGTCGCAGACAGGCAGAGATGGAGGGGAGGAATGACAGCGGAGGCCCATCGCACCACTTACAAACCAAAGCTAAGAACCCTACTTTGAGCCACGCACATCAGATCAAATCTGCATATATGAGCCGGAAGAGTACCAGGAAGAAGCCGCATCGGATGCTCGGATCCGCTCAGTGTCATCCCGTGCCCGACATCGCAGGCGGGTCTCGAACCCTTGGAGGGACGATCATACCAACACCACCATTCAGGACATTGCCTGTGCCACTGGCAACCGAAACAACGAGAACCGCGAAATGGCTCGAGGTGGCATGGAACTGGTGATGCGACCGGGAGTGGATGGCGGGGACACAGTCTCTGTTTGGGATTCTGATAGCAAGCGTGGGGGTAGGGTAAAACCTACAAATAAGCAAAGTTGCATTGAGGGTATTATGCTTCTGTCTCTGCTCTTACTCTCAATCCTATATCCCAATCTGTGATAATGATCTCATGATACTCCATTTTGGCATTAACCAGCTTTTTTCTATTTGATGGAGTATAAATCTTAAATCTGGCTGGGGCGCTGGTTAAAAACCTTCCTGTTAGCTAAACATAGTGCTTAAGCTTGTTTTATTTTCATTTTCAGAAGACCTTTTTCGGTCTAAACTCTTGTCTCCTCACTAAACAACATATCTCTAATACACAGTTAAGACATGGAGGCTTCGTCTGACATAATATAAAATGTGCACTAATCTACTTGCTGCATTCCTGTTTGCATAGCATGTTTAATAACATTTACTGTTCAGAAAGCTCCATCCGTGTCTTGAGTATCTTAGTGGCAGCAAATATTCAGAGTTTTAGACACATTTGTAAGGCCTGATTCTTCCATATCATAATATTGTGCAGAATTGTCAAATGCCATCACATTGTTTTGTCATGTACCTTGTCCTTCCTGCTCTCGTGTGTGGCATTGCATGCTAACCTGTATCTTTTCTTGCACAGCAAAAAAAAAACACTTACAAGATTGTAGTGATATACAGGCATATCGAATCTCAGATGACCAGGATACTGGGTGTCAGTCCGCCAGCACTTTCAAAATGAAAGTAAACATCTGTCTAATTAAAAAAATTATTACAAATGAATAAAACAAACATAAATCAAATAAAATAAAATGGAGATAATCTCCTACAATAGTCCCAACCCTACGCGTTTCATCTGATGCTACAGACTTCCTCAGTGGTAAATTCAGAGTGGAAGATCCAGTATTAAATGTGACTTATTTTGCCTTAAATTTGAAATTCATTTTGAATTCTCACTTTAGTGAATAGCCCTGATTGTCCGATATTTGATAAATAGGTAGGCAATTCACAAATGCTAGCACTTATACAATGTTATTTCTGCCCAAATTTCAACAGTTTTGTAGTGAAAAAGTAAAACTGATCAAAAATGGTTTTAGAAAGCACTTGATCCCAAATATCCTTACACTAGAACTACTATAATAAGTTGTGACTTTAGCCAATGCACTCATGCATCATTTCATTGTAGGAGACAATTTGCACAATTACAATTGCAGTGCAAATCCACATACATTACCTCATTTAGTTATAAGTCTTTCCTTATAACTACAGCGTACATTACCTTGGTCAGTCTAAGTCTTACACATGCTTTTGTCTGCTATTTGACAAACCCAAATAGGGACATGGACAGATACACTATAAAACTTTAAATGTACAAAAAGTGAGAATTCCTCTTAAAAGTGCCGTTCGAATTCTCATGGAGGTCGAATGTTACGTGACCAAGTTCTACTCAGTTGTTGAAGTGGAAGCACCTCTAGTAGCTGTCAAAGAGATAGCCACTAAAGAAGTCTTTAACCCTTTAATGTATGGCAATCGGTTCATTAAAATGTTAAAACTACAGGACCATTGCATCAAGATCACTTTTTTGAGATAAAGTGGACTGGGTGGCTTTAGTGGGCCTTTAAATAAGATATGGTCCCTGACCTCACATATGTGGCATAGAAGGCATGATGGATGTGTGCCCTGCTTGAGGAACTGGTTTCAAGTGTTCACAAGCAAGGCCAATACTGTGGGACGGGAGGGGAAGGACTTCTCTGAAAGAAAAAGTTGCATTATTATTGCACCCGCATGCAGAACACTTAGGCTGGAGCCACAGCTTCTGTTTTCATTCATTAAAAATAAATAATAATTAAAAATATTCTTTAATTATCAGCATGTGGTGGCAGATGCTAAAAATGCGTAAAAAGGGTCATTTTAAATGTCAGCTGCAAGAAAAATATTTCTGCATGTGCAATCCATGAAATCCGTTTCAAATGGTACAAAAGCTCTTTCTCTTTCCAATGTCTGAGTATTTGCCTGGAGAATCAAACATCCAGACATCACACAACTGCATCCTTCTGGCTGTTACAATTAGCATCACCTGCAGCCACATCTAGTGAAGAGGTTACCATCTTCTAAACAGGGATAGGTAAATGTGCAACACCTCATCACATTTGAGAGTGACTGGAGGTCAATTTTTGTCAGCTTTGATATGCAAATGGTTAATCGACATCTCTCATTCGCATAACAGAGATATTTACAAAACAGTCCAGAGTGTTTAATGCAACTCTGTGCTCAGAAATAAGCAGGGGAATAGAATGTGATTTCAATTTAAATCAAGCACTCCATGATGCTGCTTATATCAGTGAGCAGTTCAAGCAGAATAATAACATTCCACTCCTGTTACATACAAATAACTGCTGCTAATAAATTAATAAATTAAAATTAATGGTCGTTCAGTCCATTAAATCTTGTTAATTTTGTTTCTCCTATAACCCACAAGTTTACATTATAAAAACAATATATTTTTTTAAATGATAATTTTAATTGGATCCCTGATGTGACAATCCCGCGTGTTATGGATTTCTTAATTTCTTTTCTCAATTTTTTTTAAACAAACATTAGTCATCACTGTTATTATGTATAATGTCCCAGACTTAAATTACTAACAATCAAAAAGTACCACATTTAATGCTAACACAGGGAGATTCCATATAATCTAGTTTATAATTATATTTTGTACCCACATCACACACTGGTTTTCAATCTCCTCATCCCTCACCTGACTAAAATGCTACGGCTGCTTGGGGGTACAGTACATGCATTTTTATTTTGTATGTTTATGTCTTTAAAAAGTACAGGATTTTAAATTCTGCTTTATGGAGTGGAACACATCCTGATCATTCACTACAAACAGTTATTTAGCTTTATATGTGATTTGTTTGGGTACTGCGTGAATGCTGGCTCCCAAGATACTATTGTCTAAAACTCTTTGGCACATGAAACCAAGTACTATTATTCGGATGATTTGTTAGCAATTTAAAAAAAAGAAATAAAGAGGACAAATAGAAACATTGAATTTTTATATATATATATATATATATATATATATATATATATATATATATATATATATATATATATATATATATATATATATATATATATATATAATTTTATTTTTTATTTATTTTTTTATATTAGGCTCAGACTTTGACAAATTGAACAAGTACACAAGGTAGTTGTGCAGCCTTTTAAAACACGGCTTTAGTATTGCATTAAGATAAAGGTGAGCCAACATTATTGAACAAGAAGAGAATACATTCAAAGACTCTTACATTTTTGATGATGGCACACATAGCTCTTTCACATGCTAGATCAATACATCAACAAAGTTTTACAGCAACCGCCACCACATGTACCATACTTTAGAGTATACATAAAAATGCAACAATATAAAACAAATCGGTCATTCTTCATATCTATGCTAGCTAAGTATAGAGAACAAGGATGGTGGGTTTGTATGCATATATTGTATGAACCAGGAATTAACAATGCAAATGTCTGAAGTATACTGAAAGATGAATGGAACCTTCACATAAAGGTTAACCCAATATAACCTGGTTACTTAAAGCCAATTGACAAATCAACATTACACTTTGATATTGGTGACAAACCAGTTTCTGGTGAGTGTTCTTCTGGGGGTTATTTCAAACGTGATTTGCATCAAAAGTTTGCCCAAATAGGCTGTGGATTAAAACGCCAGAAATACATTAAAGAAGCACTATAGTCAACAGAACCACTAAAGCTTAACGTAGTGGTTCTGGTGTTTATAGTCTGTCCCTGCAAGCTTTTTAATGTAAACGCTGCCTTTTCAGATGGCCCTAGAGGTGCTTAGTAGTTCAGTGCTGCAATGCATTCAGCATCTTCATGCTTTGCATTAGAATTCCAGGCTATTAATGACTGATCCTACTAAAGAAGTTGCAGTTGCCCTGGTCCAGTAGAGCAGTCCCAGGGATGGAAAATAGATCGCTCCACTGCATGGAGTTTGATACAGCAGAGGAAAGAGCCAGTCAGAGTGATAATGCACTGTTAGGGGATGTTAGACTGAGTCCTGCGTCCGTTGAAGCATGATCGGAGAAGGCTGCATCACAGGAATCTTTCAAATAATCTCACAAAGCAAATTAACAAATCATAACTTTGTTGAAATACATATTGGATACAAAGATACATAAAACTCACTTCTTACAATAAAGAAAAAACAACATTGCTTGCAAGTTTATCTTTTCTCTTTTTACAAAATATTTGTTACTTGCTTTCCAAATAACAGAAAAAAAAAAAAAAACCAAAAAAAACCAAACAAAAAAAAACAATGCAGCAACAATGTTCCCTACAATACCAATATAAAAAAAATGTATTACGTTTTTAAAAGAGTTTCTCCCGGCAAATTGAATAACAAACACAACCCACAGAAATGTCTACTATTGCTATATTCCATTACATTAGACTTGGAGACCTGCCAGCAGAAGCTGTCATGGATCAGATAAAAAGGAAGCAAGCTCTGCAATGTAACCTTTTTCATTGCAAGAAAAGTGTGACTACCTGCTTCGTCAATGGAAGGGTTAATATCGACCAGTGAATGGAGGCAGAAAAAAAAACTCTCTTGGCAGGAATGTGATACCTGCAGCCCCCTCCTATTACAGTAACAAGCTTTTTGAGGTTAATTGCATTAGTGCCTGAAGCTACTACCCCTGCACTGACTGTACTCAAAACCGCACCACTTCTAAAAACCTGAAAGCATTTGGGGTCCACTAAGGGTGGTCGCATTACTGTTTCAATCAGGGACACATGAAATGTATGCACTTCAGGATAAAATAAAGACTGTAGACTGTTGTCGGCAGTTTACTGATTAGTATTCCAGCCCTAAATATGCATACTTTTTAGAATTCCTTGATTAGAACAGCAATTTTGGATGCACTGTAACTTCTGAATTTCAGCTGGGGTAATCTTCTCCATTTTCAGCAAGACGTCTTGTTATTTTACTCCATAGGAACCGTAATGCATTGCAAGGCACAGAAAGACAGGTCAAGGATGACATTAACGTGATTGCGGTCTTGCAAAAAACATATATTAAAAAGCTAGCAAGCTTTTATGGTGTCCACAGTGCCCCTTTAAATACAGACCTATAACAATCATAGGGTACTTTGGGCACTTGTTCAATATTTCATGGACCATAGTTCACTCACACGATATGGAAATGGGCAAATACCAGTTGGGCAAACCTGGGCTACAGTTGACTATGAATTCATCCCCTTCAAGAAGGTGGCAATCTTAACGACAAAATGTATTTGCATTTCAGTGTGCTAAGTCAGCAAGTAGTTGGCACCTTATTTATAATGTTGTGATATCAGGAACAGGGACGTATTTGCCGTGAGGCAAACAAGGCATTTGCCTTGGGCAGCAATTTCCAGGGGGTGGCAAAAAACACTGTCTCCAAATGCCCAGGCAATTACCTGGTTTGCCTCGATTTATGGGAGCCCAAGAGGTGGCCAGCTGGCCACCTTTGGGCTCCCCTGTGGTAGGCGGGCAATGGTTTCCTGGGCGACCCCCAGTAATGCCGGGAGCTGGAATATGACGTCATATTCCGGCTCCCAGCATCACTCTGCAGCGCGCGAGGAAGCGGAGCAGAGAGCTCAGGGGAAAGTGCTCCCTCGCTGAAAATCTAGAGCGCCCGCCAGCCTGCCTACACGCACATTTGTCCACCTCCCTGCCCAGCAGACCCACTGGACCCCAGGTGAGAAATCCACCCAGCTATCCCAAAAGTAGGGAGGCTGGGTGGATTTCAATTTAAAAAAATATATATTAATAATAGTGAGTGGGGGAAATGCGTGTGTGTGTGTGTTGGTCAGTGAAAGTGAGTGTGTGTTGGTCAGTGAAAGTGAGTGTGTGTTGGTCAGTGAAAGTGAGTGTGTGTTGGTCAGTGAAAGTGAGTGTGTGTTGGCCAGTGAATGTGTGTGCGCGCGCCTGTCAGTGAGTGAGTGCGCCTGTCAGTAAGAGTGTGTGTCCGAGTAAGTGTATGTCTGTCTATCAGTGTGTCAAATCAATTAGTGTGTGTATGTCATTGTTTGTCAGTGTATATGAGAGTGTGCGTCTGTCAGTGAGTGTGCGTCTGTCAGTGAGTGAGCATCTGTCAGTGAGTGAGCATCTGTCAGTGAGTGAGCATCTGTCAGTGAGTGAGCATCTGTCAGTCAAAGTACGGCCTTTACAGGAAGGGGTGGGGAAAATTTAAATTGGTGGGGGAGGTACCATCCTGACTAGGGCAGCACAAATCCTAAATACACCACTGATCAGGAGTAGTGGTGATTGTCAAAAAAAAAAAAAAAAGTTTTCCTTTCCACCAAAACTAACAAAATCAATAGGACATCTAAACCAACTGTTCTCAGTAGGCATAACCAAGCTCTTGTAATAAAGAAGAATGGTAAGGTCCCTCTCTATGGTATGTGTCTGAATGAGTGGTGTGGTCTATATATGTTAGATCAATGGCCATTGAAGCTTTGGGCAAATTATCTGCAGTTGATTTAAAGGGATACTATAGTCAACAAAGCAACTTTAGCTTATTGAAGCAGATTTGATGTATAAAATGGAGTGGTCTGGGTGCCAACACCTACCACCCTTAACCCTGCAAGTGTAATTATTGCAGTTTTTATAAACTGCAATAATTATCTTGCAGGATTAAATCCTCCTCTAGTGGCTGTCTTAGAACATAAAAAGTATTTTAAATGACGCTGGACGTCTTTACGCTATGCATGAGGACCTCCAGCATCACCGGAATCCCCATAAGGGATTTCCGTGCATGCACATTAGGTCTCCCCTGCCGGCTAATTTCGGCGGGGGCGGAGCCTGAAGGTGGAGCCTAAAGGGGTCACTGAACCCCTTCAGCAACATGGGATGGGGGGGATGGAGGGAGAGGGCAGTAAATGAAGTTACATCTGATTAAAAATGAAACCGCTTTGTTTTCATGCAGGCTGTGTCAGCCCCAGCCAAGGGAGGTGTGGCTAGGGCTACACAAACAGAAACAAAAGTGATTTAACCTGTAAATTGCAGTGAATTAAGTAGTGAAACTTCAGAGGCATAATCTATACACAAAAACTGCTTCATTAAAGGGACACTATAGAGACCAGATCAATTACAGCTTATTGTAGTTGTTCTGGTGAGTATATTAAGTTTCTGCAGGCTTTTTCATATAAACACTGCCTTTCCACACCTCAGACGGCCACTGGAGGTACTTCTTGGGTCAGTGTGCAGCACTGACATTCAGCGTCTTCACGCTATGCATGGAGACGCTGAACTCATCTATGAGGAGATGCTGACTGGCCAGGGCAGTGTTAGACCCCTCCTCCCAGACAGCATTCTTGGCTAGGATCATCAAAATTGACGATCTCAGCCAATCCAATTCTTTCCTACAGGAGGACAAGGAGGATCCAGGGGGGCTAAATAGTTTGTTTAGCTCTAGAGGGTCAGGAATACAAGTTTGTGCTGCTGACCCTATAGTGTTCCTTCAAGCTAAAGTTGTTTTGGTGACGATAGTGTCCTTTTAACATAACATTTAAAATCACACATCCACAGGGATCCATTTCTTCTAAATATTTTTTTTTTTTTTTGCTATTTGCATCGATTTCCATGATGCAAGTTCTGTTTTCCCCTTGGAGTTTATGGCTATGTCTTAATGATTATTCAATTATTTAGAAAGGAAAATTGCAAACATACCCATTTCCTATGTGTCCAAAAATATTTGTGGGCAAAACCAGACCCAGAAATGAAAGGTTGACTTGTAACAGGCAAATGGAATAAAATTCTTCTTCTATTCCAGCACCTCAGATCCTTTGGACTTGGGTGGCTGTGAATTTATGTTCTACTTTTCAGACAGTCTACATTAAGTTTTTAGCTGGGAGAGGAACAGGCTCCGTATACACAAAAGTGGCTGTGTATGCACCACTCCCTGTGCACAGATTCCAAAGTCACATGGTTTGTGGTTAAAGAGGAAAACTATTTATTGCCTAAGCAATGGAAACAGTCTTCTGTTAGGGAAATACAAAATCCACCACAAACCTGTTCAGCACTGATCATTCAGGTACAGCTGTTAAGACATCTTACTGTAAGATGACTGAATTTAAGGGGACCACTCAGGGGCGAATTAGCCTTACGTTGTTTTATTGACTTAATTGCTACTATGCTAGCAATCTGTACAGCGCTATATTATGGTTTCCCTTAACCTGTCTCCCAAATGTGAGGTCTGGTCAGGTCAGGAGAATACAGGGATAGCATACAAACCAAGTCAAAGTCTCTTTAGCGCTGCAGTTTAATAGCAGGCAGAATGTATATTAACCCACTCATAGAGGAAGGTCATCAGTTTGTTTTTTTCCCTCAAAACTCATGTGCACATAAAAAATTTACTTTAGTCTGTTCGGCTGACGTTAAATTTAGGCAGAAACAGAGGTTAGCAGAATATGAATAATCCAGTCATGTCAAACATCTGGGACGCCAGGTTGTTGTGGACTACTTTGGCAAGGTGCTCAGCTAGCCAAATGAAAAAAATAGTAAATAATTGTTGGAGTATTGGCCATCTCTGTGATCTATCAGTCAGTTATTATAATCTAGAAGTCTTTTCATTCTACAATCAAGTTTCTTCATTCTGCTTCAGAATGCTATTAGATGTTAAAGATATTAAAACAGAGGCCAAATATACATCAGTACGCCACACCCTCTCTGCACAGTGTTTGCTCCATAGTAATAAAAACATCTGCATATACAGGAATCCACATGTACAGATGGTTATCATTAATTGAAATTGGGCGCTTAGATTGCAACTTAATACAGCAGGATGAAGAGGGAAGAGGATTTAACAAGCCTACAAATTATACTGAAGTACAACTTTAGAAAGTACAACCCACTTAATGCTATATCCTCAAGATTCATAGATACAAGTACACAACTAATTTGCATAAAATTAATAGGTACCACTGAAAAAAGAATAGGTACGGGTGTTAAAAAATTAGTGCTCATAGGATATCTGCCACATCAGGAAGCACTCTTAAAGGCTAACATTACATCACTCCAGGGCTTAGCCTAATGGATCTAACGGACGTGGAGGCAGGCACATAGGAAACCATAGGTAAGTTGTCAAACCGTTTTAAAACTTAGTCCTTGGAATGCTTCTTTAAATGAGAAAAGTAGAACTTGTACTCTGATTGCACTCTTCCAGACAGACAAGTAAACACTAAATCTGTGCATTGTTTGCAAATAAAACATGGAAACAAGTGAATTAAGGGTGTTTAATTTGTTTACAAACGTTTAATTCGATGTAGGATTCTTATGATAGATTTCACAATTGTGAAAATATCAAAAGTATTCAATTGGGAACAGATACATTTAGCTGTTGATAGTTTCCATGTCTCGTGGTCTTGTTACCAAAATTATAAGTACCACTTTTGTCAAATTAGTGTGGTAAATGTGTGCTCTTCCATTAGCATGTTTCTCAATGAGAACATTTCAATTAAACTTTGAACACTTGAGAAATTGACAGCCAGGAGGGTGCAACTAAAAATGTTTATAGAAGTTCAGATTTCTCTTGAATGTGGCACTTTTATAAAAAAAAAAGACAATAGGGACAGCTTTATGGAACTAGACTGTTCTTTTAATCTACTTTATTGGCTTCTTGGGTGAAGCAATAACAAAATAAATGTAAAAAAAATAAAATAAATAAATTGCTTCACCACCTGAGCAATCTAGCACCTTAAATAACCCCTAAGCTTCCATCATGAGCATGGAAGTTTAAATTCTGCATTAGAAGGTACAAATATGTCGGTCTGTAAAGAGAATAAAAAATCTTCAGTAAGACCTATTAACAGACATCAGTTGTCAATCATGAATGTTAACATAATAGTTATCGTTTGACATAATATGCAACAGAATTCTTTAACCTCTGAAATCATCCATGCCCCATCCCCAGTTTTAACACTTACTATAGTTGTTACACAAAACAGTACATTATCTGCTTTAAATTGTAAACTGTCTGCAAAAACATATTACAAGAAATACAAAATAATATTACAGGGACACTGTAGGCACACAGACCACTTCAGCTAATTGAAGTTGTCTGGGTGCCATGACCCTTTGGCACTTAGTGCTGCAATTTAAAACATTGCAGTCACAGAAAACTGCAATGTTTACATTGCAGCTCTAAGTCTGCCCTCTGTGGCTGTCTACTAGAGGGCTTCCGGAAACCAAACAGACTTTTGATCAGTTATCTGACGCTGGACATCCTCACGGACCTCCAGCGTCAAATTTTCCCCATAGGAAAGCATTATTCAAGGAGGTCGAAGACGTGGCATGCGCATTACGTGTCCTCCGCCAGCTGACATTGGCGGGGAAGGAGCCTGACCCAGCGCTGAGGGACATAGGTGCTGGATTCAGGTAAGTGGCTGAAGGGGTTTTAACCCCTTCAGCCCTGCGGGAGGGGGCACAAGGGAGCCTATAGTGCCAGGAAAAACGGGTTTGTTTTCCTGGCACTATAGGATTCCTTTAATGCAACAAAAATTGTTAAGAATTCATGCTTCACAAGATGGCCCTGTCCCACTGAAGGTATGGCTAAGGCAGAGATTATACACTCCCTTGTAGCATTACTGATTCATACCTGCAATAAGCACTGTGATAGGCTGAATACGATTAGCTGACCCTCTCAGCCAATCGCAGCAGCCCATTGTTGTTGAAGCTATTGCTTTCCCATGCAGCACAGAGGGGATATGGTACTGGGGACTCTTCTTTTGCAATTCAACTTTAAATAAAAAAATAAATAAAAAAAAATAAAAAGATTTAATGCAGAATGGAGGACAGCACCAGGGGACTCCAGACACTATAACCACTTCAATTACATAAAGTGCACTGTAGGGATGCTGCTGCTTGGAGTGTTTCTTTAACAGACTACATGGAATGAAAGTGTATGTAGAATTGCTGAGGTTCCCCCAAGTGATGCTTTTGAAATAATTATAATAGATAGTGTAGCGGAGAGGCAGTATAATCCACAATATCTCCGCTGGGTAACAGGAATAACATAGGATAATCCAGGGGAATAAGCACAGCATACAATAATCCCGGTAGCGTTGTAGTAATCCTTCCTTCCCAAGAACTAGACGACACATAGGCTGGGAGTCAACTGAGGTTTTATTCACAGGACACTGTATTTATGGGATTCCCCATGCAAGGGGTTTCCCTACTGACATTACAGGGGTTGTACAGTAGGGGACTACATGGGGAACTGCCCAACACATACATTTCTCCCATCATGCACTGCTGGACGAGAGGGATACTCCCACTGGAATATACAGTTAATGGGATTATCCCTCCGTGCAGCAGAATTTACATTTTACATTAAAATCCATAACTTCAATAATATTCACTTGTTTTACACGAATGGACGTTCGGTAGATAGCTGGAGGCTGAGCGCATAGTTTGTGGAAATACCGCTCAGCTCCCAGTCTAACTAACCGAACGCCGTACGAAATACACATTATTTCCAACATAAGGTTAAAATAGCGATTGATATTATGGGAACAAACTACCGAACGGCCGGGGCTCCCGAACAGCCTGTAAGTCCAGCGGGGTTTGCGCCGTTGAGTAGCCGTTTTTAGATCCAGGTGCTCGACGGCAAAACCCCGCTGGGCTAACAAAGGAATCAAGATGGCTGACCGCCGCGTGGTCAGTAGCCGAACGACGGCCACCTAGGGAAGTCTTTAACTACCAATTAATCGGTTAATGAGCGCCACACGACCTCCTGTGTGTGGTCGACCGTTCGGTAGGTTATTTGTTTCACGAACAGTGTTTAAACTCACTGTTCGGGAAACTGCATAGGCAATGCTGGGTTTCACGTATTACAAGCATACAAACGCTCTTGTTCGCATGAAAGCCCCATACTACATTACACTTGGTTCTCACAGCCAGCAAACCTTATAATATCCACACATGCAATAGTCTTAAGTGGCTAGGTTTGCCACAGACAGGTAAAGCCATAATACTTTTGGATCAAAAAAAGAAAATCTCATCTACCAATAGACAGACTACCTAAGTCACTAGGTCAATTGTCAATATGTGGAACTGAAGCCAAACAAATAAAAAATAAACATTTTTCAAAAACTTGATAAAAAAAGAAAGCTTGGAACAGGATTAGGGATGCACCGAAATGAAAATTCTGGTCCGAAACTGAAAATTCTGGATGCCCTTGGCTGAAAACCGAAATCGAAAAGGACTTTTCCCCCCAAATGATTTAAAAAAACAAAATTCCTATAATTTTATTAATATTAGACTTCCTTTTCCCTTCTATTTTAGTGCTCCCCCCTTAATGTTCCTCCCCAGTCCCATAGTGTTCTTTCCCCCCGCTCCCCTGTGCCATAGTGTCTTTTCCCCCGCTCCCCTGTCCCATAGTGTTCTTTTCCCCCCGCTCCCCTGTCCCATAGTGTTCTTTCCCATTGTTCTTTCCCCTCCTGTCCCATAATGTTTCTTTCCCCTGCTCCCTGTCCCATAATGTTCTTTCCCCCCTGCTCCCCTGTCCCATAATGTTCTTTCCCCCTGCTCCCTGTCCATAATGTTCTTTCCCCCCTGCTCCTGTCGTCCTTCCCCCCCTGTCCCATAATGTTCTTTCCCCGCTCCCTGTCCCATAGTGTTCTTTCCCCGCTCCCCTGTCCCATAATGTTCTTTCCCCTCCCTGTCCCATAGTGTTCTTTCCCCGGCTCCCCTGTCCCATAGTGTTCTTTCCCCCCGCTCCCCTGTCCAATAGTATTCTTTCCCCCCTGCCCTGTCCCATAGTCTTTGTGGCAAACCTAGCCACTTCAGTATGTCCAAAGACTATATTCGCGTGTTAATTTAGTGTGAAAAGACTATGGCATTCGTACGCTAGTTTCACGAACAGTATTGGAGTATTCTGTTCGTGAAACAAACGTACTGCCGAACAGGAGACCACACAAAGGGGGTCGTGTGTCTCCTATTAACGAAATAGCTACATTCTAACCGCAAACTATTAATGGTTTTGTGGGTGGCCGCCGTTCGTATAACCGAACACGTGGCAGCGGCCATCTTTGCGCACGAGGGTTCAGCAGTGTTTGGTCGTTGAGTGCCTGGAACTAAAATCGGCTACTTGACCACACAAACACCGCTGAACTTCCATATCATTCGCATGTTTCCTCATTCATATACTTGGAGCAGAGTTCGGCAGATGGAAACGGCACGAACTCGCATGTTACAACAGTCTAAGTGAAATTGTAGAAAAATCAATGGCGTTCGCACAAACCCTTCATTTGAATGGCTTTGCTATTTTAGTGAATGGAGCTGAGCGGTATTTCACCAGATGGTGCGCTCAGATCCTAGCTATTCAGTGAGGGGTCATTCGGACAATTCACAACAATATTGTACAAGTTATGGAATTTAATGTTAAATGGTATATTTTGCTGTACGGAGAGATAATGTAATTAACCGTATGCTCTTGCACAATTATCTCTCCAGTACAGCAATGCATGATGGGAAATAGCATTATAGGTTAAGTTTTCCACAGAGTCCACCAGAGGAAAACCCCTGCAATGTCAGTTTGGAAACGCGTTGCATGGGGACTTGTATAAATACAGTGAATTTGGAATAAAAGCTCAGACGACTCTCAAACTATGTGTCGTCTAGTTCTTGGGAAAGAGGGATTATTACTATGCTACCTGTGTTTTATATGCTGAATCCTGCGATACCGTGGATTAACCTACTACTCCGCTACAGTGTTCTCCTCCTCCCCCCCGCCCCCGTCCCAAGTGCAGTATTCTTGACTCTTCATGTTATCATTACAATCTTTCATTGTGATATATATTCATCTGAATTGTTAATGCACACGTCTGTTAAACTATGCATTAAAAAAAAAAAAGTTATAATAATTTTTTCTTTTTTTATTTCGGCAGATTTGACCCGTTTTCGTCCGAAACGGGATAGGCCCATTTTCGGCCAAAAATTTTGGTGCATCCCTAAACAGGATATTTATGAAAAACAAAAGCGGTCTACACCAGAAGAGCAGACTTAGAAATGTTACTAACGTGAGGGGCATAGGAAAAGTGTTTATTCATCTTTTGGTGTAGTGATGATGTACCATATACACACACATTACCCATGACTAAAAAGTGCTGGAAAAAAATAAATAAAAAATAAATCACATTTGTTAATGTATTTATGTATATTTTTACTTGAGCCAACTTCATTCAATCCTATACTGTATATTTCATTTTATTAAAACCTAATTAATTGAAAGGCACTGTGCTATAAATACAGATATCCTTACCCATTGATTCATATCAACAGTCAACCTCTTTAGAGCACGACTCAAGCCCAAACATATAATTGCTTCAACCATTTACACTGTAGCTTATCCCTAGTGACTGATCACTACACAGCATTGAAGACCACTATAAAAAAAAAAAAGTTATCCCCTCCCCAGTAGTTTTAATAGTAGAAAGACTCTTTAAAATGTTATTTCTGTTTGGAAGTTACATTCAAAAGTAACTCACAACTGTCACCACTTACTAACCACAATACATGCACATCATCAACAGTAAGTATCGCAGGATCAGATGCAGCACTGAACTGCTGTAGTTGGACCAATAATATTACTCAAAAAATGCTACACTGAAAGACTTCAAAACATGGGGAGAAACAGGCTCTCTTATTTTAGAATAAGCATAGTAAATTAACCCTTTAATTATTAACATATGCAGTGTGTCCAGACAGAGGTTTAAAATTACAATTTAAAATTTGCTGAAACACCAGGACAGGAAAGAATGGGACAGTGAGCCAGGACAATTGGTAGTCCCTGGAAATTTGGCTAGTAGCATAATTATGATCTTATTTCTATCTGTCTTCCACCTGTGCCAGTATCACAGTTCTATGTGTGGTTTGTAATCGTATATTAACAAAAATAAGAATGCACTCCATGACACAGCGACAGTACTTACATACACAACACACAACAGCCAGTTTACAACAGTGTAGTTTATAACGTACTTTTACATTACCACCACCGAAAAGCATGTATTAGGATGGACTTTCATAAAATGTTAACCTGCTTTAAAAAACAAAAAAAAAACAAACAATATTTATAACAAGGCTTGTTTCTACCTCTTACGAAAACAAATTTGCAATAAATAAATACATACATATATACAGATGCATTCAGGCCATTCACCTCTATGAAAAACTACTCTCAATATGCTCACTCACGCCAGATCAAATATGTTTCTAGACTGAATGGAAGCTATGAGCTTAAATCGTTGACACAATGCCATTAAAAAGGTTAGATACAAGTGTAGGAAAGCAGAATATACAGAGTTAATAGTAAGGAATGCAATAATTACATTAAATAGCTTGATTGTATGAGTATTTTCAGAGTTTCTCTAATTGTACTGAGCACAAAAGCACTTCACAGTAACATAATATTATCATTACCCCACAGACATAGCACTCATTTTATCGATCCCAGAAAGATGAAGGATTCCTTCAGGGAATTATATATTGACCTTGAGGTCACACAAAGATTTCTAGAGTAGCTACATTAGCCCCAAAGCTATTTAACAGCATTATTGATCCAACGGCCAAATAAGATTGTCATGGTTGCTTCAATAAAGGGATTGTTTTCTACCTTTTGCAGTTAAAATTGTGAATTTGTTTTACTTTCTTTGGATTCATCAACAGCAATAGGGAGGAGTGTAACTGATAGACCGGTTAATTTTAAACTGAACTTTCAATGTTAAATTTCAACAGGATGTACATGTTTATTTTGGAAATATATGAATGTGTGTTCAAATATGTTACACATGTGTGACTTTTCAAAACAAACATTCTTGTGAAAAATAAATATATTTATATTTATATTGTTTGGCTGGAGTTTTTGTACCATGGCAAGTTTAATCAGTGGAAGACTGAGTGCAATACCTCTTCCATCCAAGCACCATAACAACTACAGCCCAACCAGAGTAAAATAGTCAAGCCATTTAAAATCCTACTGACAGTTTACCTGGGTCTTGCCAGGTGAACTGCTACCTCCACAGCTACCAGAAGCTCTTCCACTGAGCTAAGCCTGGTTGTGCAGAGCTGCACTTATTGACCAAGAGCATTCAGCTATTGAGCTACCCGGCACGCAACTGTTTATTTCAGTAGAGCTAAAGAAGTTGATTGTAGAAGCTTGCAGGACCATGGGAGGCATCAACAGGAACCCAGTGGGTAAATTGTCACACCACACATAAATAGTATGACTACTTATTCTGAGAGAGAGACCCGGGGCACTCCTGACACCAGAATCACTACAGTGGGCTGTAGTAGTTATGGTGTTTAAAATGTTCTTTTAAAATATGGATACATTCATATCCCTTCAAGCTAATAGGAATGTGTAACATCTGCATTAGCAATTGAGCGGGAGCCACACTGTGTGCGTTTCAGGGACATCCTGGTTGTGGTCAAACCACTCACAAATAGTTTGACTAAAAGCTAGATCACGTCACCTGGTTCTACTAGCACTATAACTACTAGAGAGGCATGTAGTGAACATGGTTCCCAGACTACTTTCATTTGGAATAAAAGAATCTAGCTCAGCTGTTGAGATTTGTTTTCCACCAACATAGTCATTTTCCATTATTTCCATTCAGAAATTTTGCAAGCTGGTGGTTAATTCACCAACAGTTCAGCTAACCGTTTAGTGAATAGACCACATAATTATTAAATGTGTCATAAGTCTTCAAAGGCTGACACCATAGATCAGAATATTTGTATGGATTTTTGCCATTGAAACACCACATAGTAATGCTATATTTATGCTGTCTTTTTCTTACAGACTTAAAGGGCACCTGTCATGCTCAAATAACCTATGCTAGTTTTGCTAGCATATGTATAGATTAGGAGAAAAACCTATTTATTTATTTTTTTTCTCTTTGCGTGCTGAGGCACTGACTGACAATGGAGAACATAAAAAAATAGCCCTCTGCTCTCCAGCCATAGCAACCACAGCACATGCACAGCGGCTGCTATGGAAACTAAGGAGCATAGGAACGAAGTGCTATGACATCTCTCTGTTCCGACACCAGCAATGAGCCCAGTGTGTTGATGGCTCAACAAGATTTGCACTGTTTGGGGATTTGTCCCAAGCAGGGCAAATCAAAGAAGAACAGAAGTGGAGCGCAGCTGGAGTGGATGACGGCCAGGAGGTGGGTGTTACACAAATCAACGTACTGACACTGGAACAGAGGAAAAGTTAGTAAATCTTTATATTTAAGTTATCAAGTTATTAATTATATTAAGTTAAGTTATTCATAACAGGTTCACTATAAACACCCAAAATATTTATGTGGTATATTTTGTCTGTTTCCTATGCTGAAGGATATTTATGAAGTAACTGCACAGTTGCAATTGTTGCAACCATTTTATGGTTGAGTTTAATGAACTACAAACTCAGAAATATTATGATGAAATTAAAGTGCTCCACCAAAACCCAGCATAGGTCATATGTAAAGGTTGATGATTTCATCACTCACTACTGTTTTCTAGTAGTATCCAGCAATAGGCATCATACAATACATATCTATCACAAACGTAATATGATACGCAAATAACATCTATCACACACAAAAACGGCCCTAATTAAAGATTTGTGACAATACTATAACGTTTTAAGACAAGCAAACCATTCATTGCAGTACACTAGCACTACATTAAAGGACCACTAAAGTAACTCAGACCACTTTAAGTGAATTAAGTGGTTTTGGTGCAGTGGTCCTATAGGTTTAACCCCTTAATGTAAAACGTTGCGGTTTTGCAAAAACAACAATGTCTACATTAAAGGATTACAAATTAAGCTCACCTCCAGTGGCTGCTTTCCTGACAGCCACTAGAGGCACTTCCACCTCCATAACCATGTAAAAATTGGTTCCTCAATAAAATGCTGCCGATAGCAGCATACGATTGGAGGAGTTCAGCGTTTTGCCACGTATGCGTTCTCGCAATGTTTTTCTATGAGAAACAATGGATTGGACAAGATAGCAGGTGACAGCAGAGCAGTCTCAGCGCTGAAAAGGAGATGAGTAAAATTTATTAAACTTCACTTTTACAGAGCAAAGGGGGGTGGGACAGTGATCACTTCACTAGAGGGGAAGCTGGAGCGTAAAAAAATAAACGTTTTTTTTTCCCCAGGGCTATATGTTCCCTTTAAAAAGGGACTTGCCAAATGCAAAACCCTCTACAGCTTATTGGACAGTCTGAGTGCAGTCCCTACAGTGTTTCTCAAACTGTTTTCCATCAGTTTGAAAAGGAAATAGAGGGATCCCCAGCAGCCAAAGCCTGGACCCTCAGCTTATAAAATCACAATAATGAAGTTTCACATTCCACAATCCATCCATGTGTTTGTAAGATGCAGTAAACCTGGAGAAAAATTAATCACTACTACAATAAGCTGTGGTATGGCGGTTGGAGTGTCCCTATAAAAACATCATAGTGTGACAGTGTCAAGGTTATTCAATAAAGTAAGAAGTCAAAGTGAGTTCAACCTAAATTTCATATTTATCTATCTTGTTCTATGCAGAACATTTGATTGGCGGCTTAGCGAATGCTCCCACTTCATACACTCACTAACAAAACTGCTAGCACAACGTACAGATAAAATGTTGATGCTTTTTAAAGAGACACTCCACTCGAATTGCTGTTTAGTAGATATACCCAAATGAAAAGTTGCATGTATTTAATTAGGATTTTTTCCATTGGTGCTATATCTAAAAACAGCCTGGAAAACCTTTCTCTTGTCTGATCCCCCACCCCCTCCCCTTCCAACCCCGCCCACACTTTCTGTGACTGTCCAACCACAGATTTTTCAATGCAGCTCAATGAGAAGTATTTGCAAGGCAGGTGCTCTGAGCAATTGTTGCCTTTGGAGTTTATCTCCACTGAGCTAAACAACAGGGAAGTAACATTACATGTCTGCTTGACAAATTTGACAATTTCTATAAAAATGCCAATTTCTATTGAAATCTCTAGTTGCAAAATGCAAAAAAAGTGGTCAAACCCTTCAGACATGAAGCTTTTCTACGAGATAAAGTGCCTTAGGGGTCTGGATAGTGATGTCCCGAACTGTTCGCCAAACAGTTCGCCACGGACTCATCATTGCGTAAACTTTGACCCTGTACCTCACAGTCAGCAGACACAATCCAGACAATCAGCAGAAGACCCTCCCTCCCAGACCCTCCCACCTCCTTCGTGAACCGTTCGGCAAACAGTTCGGGACATCACTAGGTCTGGAGTGTCCCTTTACACGGAGTAAAAGTAGTTCCGGGCCAGACAGGTTACCTTTAAATTTGAATTCCTATTTTCATGAATAACCCTGCATGTATTTCTTCTCATCGCAAATCTAAACCTGACCTCATACATCTGTAAAATAACTCTGCTTTTTATTAACACATGGGCAAAATTCCATTAATGCTCAAGTCAGAAGAAAAAGTCTGAATGAATCTGTCACCTGTGCACATCCAGAAAAATTTAACAATTAAAGCCAGATGCCTCTCAGCTTAAAATGAGTAAAATTATCAAAAAAGGTATCACATTTGTATTATATCATAAAACTGCAGACAAATAGAGGAAGCACAGAAAAAGGATAAAATGGCATACACATTTTGTGCAGTGAGGCATTTATTCATAGGCATCTAGTGTAGATAAACAAAAAGATTTTCTGCTTAGTACCCTGGAGTGCACATATTACTGGCCAGCTCTTATAACGGATCTTGCATCACATAATTCCTAGTAAGTGGCTTCATGCCACTTGTAGGACACAGTTGCACCAGCTAGAAATGTGGCATGGCACCAGGAGCTATGCCAAAACTGTGCTCTGGCACATAGCGGGATAACAAATGGGGATCTATATCAAATCCTGTAGGCCTGCAGGGCCTTTTATAGACTATATCGTGCATAGATTTGCCCACTGACACACTATGCCAAAAATTGTTTTGTCTGTGAGATAGTCACTACTTTATCTTAAGATACCTTTAGATTGCTAAAATAAAATTCCAATGCAGTCTTTGAGCTTTTCTTAAATATTCTATATTTATGAAAAACTCATATGTAACAATAAACAAACAGGCCCAGACTTATTAATGTATCACATATGTCAATCTGCCTGTTGTCAATTTGCAAAAACATTAAAGGACCACTCTAGGCACCCAGACCACTTCAGCTTAATGAGGTGGTCTGGGTGCCAGGTCCAGCTAGGGTTAACCCATTTTTTAAAAGAATGGGTTAAGCCTTCCCCTATTTTCTCTAGCGGCTGTCTCATTGACAGCCGCTAGAGGCGCTTGCGTGATTCTCACTGTGAAAATCACAGTGAGAGCACGCAAGCGTCCATAGGAAAGCATTGATAATGCTTTCCTATGTGACCGGCTGAATGCGCGCGCAGCTCTTGCCGCGCGTGCGCATTCAGCCGACGGGGAGGAGAAGAGCTCTCCGCCCAGCGCTGGAAAAAGGTAAGTTTTAACCCCTTTCCCCCTTCCAGAGCCGGGCGGGAGGGGGACCCTGAGGGTGGGGGCACCCTCAGGGCACTATAGTGCCAGGAAAACTAGTGTTTTCCTGGCACTATAGTGGTCCTTTAACCAGTAAGCCAGTAAGTGGTCTGTGTAACTCTTTACAACATTGTGAGCCTCCAAGACCAGCAGTGTGAGATAGGTCTATAGATCCCAGAAAGTAAATATAGGCTTTATTATACATTTCCAAAATACAGTTTTTTGGTCTTTACGGCAGCACCATTGCTTGGAAATGCATGTTCTGGGTGTGCCCCCAATCCTCATTTTTTTTACTATAGATTTACATAAAGCATTTGTGGCAGATTTGTCAACCTGTGGTATATTAGAATCTATTTATTGTTCATTGCATACAATATTTCAAAGGAAACCGTTATTAGATGTATACTAAATAAAAGATGCTAATGGGATACTTGGCCACAAAATAAGATGATACTTTTGGTAAGTAGTGTAGAAACATTGCAAAACAAAGATAGAAGAGAACAAATATTTAGCACTGCACACATCCTTTTATAACAACTGGTTAACAAAACCAAATGAGCTTCGCTGTATTTGGTGAAAATATTTAAGTGATTTTTTTTTTTTTGGTGGTATAGAGTGTTTCGTGACGTGTGGATTTATAGTTTTACAAGTGGAATAGTCTTACCTTAAAGAATCATTACATTCCAGCATTACATCTAAGACATACTGAGTTATTTTCAGCACTGTATTTGAAATCTTCTGAGGCCAACATCCCCCCCTCCACACATATCCCCATTGCATGTACTCACATGCCCTCCTTGTACAGACCAGTATTGCAGCATCCTGACTGTGTGTCCTTACTTGAATACCTCCGTAAGTAGGATGGTAAACATGTTGACTTATTTATATACTCAAAACTTATACGGAAATAACTCAATAAAGATGAATGTTGTAGATTCAAAATTAAGTTACAATTTTTAGGCCATAGTATATATATTTTAGTTTTTGCTTAAAATGTTAAATTCCCTTCGTATTTCCAAAAATTCACACTTTTACCGAATACTCTTGACAGGAATATTTAAAATTGTGGGCCTAACTACCCAAACTGTGAAAAAAAAAAAAAAAACACTGCAAGGTCTGTGGAAACTAATGGAAGATGTATTCTAGCAGGATATTCACGGAACACTAAATTTTAGTGAATTAAATCCAATGTAGACAAAATTCAAGTCAAGCTATGACCAGAGCTGAGTTGGAGAATTTTGCTTGTTTGAAGTTTGTCATTCAGATTTACTTTAGTAAAATCTGGTGTTTAGTTAAAAACTCTGTAGAAAGTTAAGACAATATTGAAAGTGGTCATATGGAGTAGATAAATGTTGGAATAACATGCAGTAGACATACTTGAAGCCAAGAGAAATCTCAATGTATCCTTCGTGGTAAAATATTTTATAAATTAATAAATAAATAATATATATTTCAACATATTATACTGAAGGTTATATGAAGCAATAGAAGACGTTACAGGGAGCGGTTGCAAAGAGCAGGAAGAGACATTAATATAAGAGATTTACTAAAATAATATGTAGAGTAAAAATCATCCAGGATTAGGGGGCTATGCAAATTATAAAGGTCAGCCAGCCTTATAGCCCCCATTTTGTGCAGTGTTCGATCTAATGTACAGTGTACAAATCTGTGGAAGGTATTGGTGCTTTGTAAATAAAAAACAAAATCACCAATACCAGTTTATGTCTCATCACGCTAAAAGGTCACCATCTAATGGTTAAACACTTTCCACCCCAAATAATCTTCCATCTCTTCGACTGACATACACATGTGTTGCTATGTGTGAACGCTGCTTTAATGCTTTTGGATTTATGCACTAAACATCAAATTGTAAAGTGAATTGCAAAATCCAAGCTAAAACAACTGATTGGAAAATTTAGCAAACTCAACCACAGCTTAGCTATTTTATCCTGATAATTTCAATTTGGGTTTCACTTTACAACAATTTTGTATTCAGTTAATAAACTCATTCATATTAAAATCAAATCAGTTTCTAATAACCTTGATATAACGTATTTAGCCAAATGTGCTCATTTTAAGCCAATTTAGAAAACATTTCCATCTCAGCTATTTTCTCATCAGAGATATTTTGGCCTATAATCTGCCATTCTTATCTTAGTAAATAAGACTGAAAGGGTTATTCACTAAGCTGTGAACTGTCTGGAATTCACCAGCCATCTGCATGTACATTAGGCCAGAGTAGTATTGGAAAAAGTTCTCCAACTCAGTTATGTTTCCAACTCTGCTCATATGACGTTCAATTTCAAATTCACTGGTCAATTCCTGACAATGCCAAATTTTGTTTATTCACTAAAATGAGATATGTCAAGAATTCAAAGTGAATGTTAAATTTAAGGCACAAATAGCCTAAATGGAAAAATTCTCCATGTGAGTTATGTTTCCAGTTGGCCTTAAAGGAACACGCCTGCCACTATAACAACTTAACTGGAATGACGTTGTTATGGTGCCAGAAGGTCTCTCGCGCCGGCTTACCATCTGTAGTTAATCTTTTAATTAAGGTTTACCTCCACAGTGTTGAATCCAGGTCTGGCCATCTCCTTCTGTCCGAGACTTCAATCACAAAGATTCGGTCAGGAGAGCTGCTAATAGGCTGAGAGCATCAGATGACATGCTCAGTCTATAGTAGCTCCCCATTTACAAAAATGGTTTGAGAAGAATATTTGGGTTTCTCAAGCCGTATTGTGTCAGCTGAGGCTCTCAGCGGCACCTCCGTCCAAGGATTCCTGATTCAAGCCTCAAGACAGAAGCTGAAGTAGATGGGCAGAGCTAAACAGCAACAAATTCAACACTTTGGGGTTAAACGTTCGTTAACAGTTTAACCTCTGAAGGTAAGAGAGCGCCAGTGACCTCCTGGCACCATAACCACTTAATTCTTACGAGAATGTTATGATGTGCGGAGTGTTCCTTTCAATTTGAAATTCTCTTGGAATAACTGATAATTCTCACTTCAGTAAAGAACCCTGTATACTGTGAATTTCATATTTTAGGTTAAACACATTTTTTATTTTTTTTTAAATTGCGAGTTCTGATTCCAAAGCTTACACAGTCAATTGTCGGTAGATTTCCCAAATTATATTACTAGTAAAATATCCTCAGAGTTGTTATACAGAAAAATAGCAACAAGGGTGAGGTTGTTGGTGTTTTTCTTTTTTGTCTTAACAGGTATTTACAACCATTCAGAAAAGCTTGCTGTGGGGCATATTAGCAACTTTATGTATGACTCAAACTCTGGCCACTAATTTCTACCAGGGCAGACAGATGATGGGAAGTTTAAACAAGCATGATAACAAGCAGAATTAAAGCAGGTACTTATATATTGTGATAGAAATTACTAAATATGCCCTTACCGTGGACAGATACATTTTATCCATTATACCCACTGTGTGTCTGCCTACACCCCTGCCAGCTCACTATAATAACCACCTTCATGAGCCAGTGTTTACATTTGGCACCCACCATGACTGAGAAGCAGATGAATTGGAGGAAGTTTGAGTGAGTCCTTGCAGTGTAACCATTAACCCCCTTTATTATTTAGTAATTATTTGCCCTGTGCCAAGCTCTGGCATGTGAAGGTGGCATGGTGTCTGTGCCCACATCTTCTCACCTGGGGATGGTGATGCACTTGGTGCTGATGCTCTGGGTTGTCAGGGCTTTCTCCAGTTCGTCCAGCTGTCCAGTCTTCTTCAGCTTTTTCACCAGGCTTTTCACTGCCTTCTCACACCACTTCTCCTCCTGCCCATTCTGCTCTCCCTTCTTCCAGCCCAGCAGCCTCTTGACTATGGGGGGAGTGAAGGGTAGGATGGAGGACATGGCAGCCCCCACAAGAGACACTGAGAGCCCAGCAGTGGGTGAAGTGGGGGCAGTGGCTGGGAGTGCACACTCACACTTATTTTCACTCTCACAGTCGCACTTGATATCTGCTGTCACTATGCTCCCTGGCCCTCTCTCCACTCAGGCTGCACTCTCTTCCTGCCCCCCTTCTCTCACAGCACTCTCTCTCCTCCTCACTCCCCCTCTGTCGCTCTTTAATTATTTCACTCTCTTTTAGCATCTAACTTTTTCATCTCCCCTCTCCCTCTCTCTCTCTCTCTCGCTCTCCAAACCGCGTCACATCCCCTCCCTCTCAGAATATTCCTCCGCCCCTCTCCTTCGCCACGCCCACCGTGTGCTGCTGCAGGCACTCCTGTAAAACCCCGCTTCTGCTCGGCCACGCCCCCATCCTTGGCAGGAGATTAACTAAAAGGCTTCTGCGAATGTAGGGGCGGCGAAGGCGAGTGATTGACAAATCCAAAAGATTAATCCGCGGGGTGATGCGGTTGTGTTGGTTTTCCCCATGTGTGGGAGAGTGTGGCACAGGATGGGGGCTGGCACGGCCTGTACATGGTACCCTCTAATAAACACATCAACTAGTGTGTGTAACTAGTGCTGGGAGACTGCCAGTAGCAGCCTCTGCTGCACTCACATGTAACAAGTGTTCAGAGTAAATTAATATTTTATCCATAATACAATTAGACTAGAGTATTTGTGGAGGTGGCTGGATAGTTAAAGGGACACTATGTGCACCCACACCATATCATCTCAATAAAGCGGTCTGGGTGCAGTGTCCCTGTCCTCTTAACCTGCGACGTAAAACATGTTTACATTGCATTGTTAAAGGGGCAGTTTAGGCACGATAACAACTTAATCCAAAATAATTTCCTATGGTGCCAGGAGGCCCCCAGGCGCACTCTTATTTGAACCTGTAAGTGAGCCTCCAGTGCAGCTCTCAACTGAGAGCTCACGCTCTCAGCCAATTAGTGACACCCCATTCACAAAACTGGCTAGAAAAAGGGTATGTTCCTTTTGAAGCCAGCTTCAGTCACTGATTGAGCGAAGACTGCTCTCTGCCAATCAGTGGCGCCCCTGCCCGTTCGCACTCTGTGCTTTTTAAACTGAGATATCAGATGCAGGATGCCATATGGGGGTACTTAAAATCAGCGCTGGAGACTCAATTTCGAGTTAACTCGTTACTGGTACCATAACAACTTCACCCTGCACTAGTGACGGCTACAGGGAATTGGCTTTATCTATGTAGGATCCCGTGGGATTCTCTAGAGACCTCAATACCTCTTGTACATGCCCGAAAGGTCAGCAGTGACACACTGGCTGAAGCACCAGGAGCTAAAGAGTACCCGCCGAGAGAAAAAGGCGGCATCAGCGAAAGACAGGTCCAAGTAAGTAGAACTAACTTTTGCCTTTAATTTACTCTAAACAATTCCCCAGCCACCAGACCCAGTTTACTGCGGCACAAGACTACAAATTTTCCAGCAAGATACAGAATCTTGCAAAATGAAAGTAAAAACACCAACACTTCATGGTCCAAAACAGCCAGACTAAAATACAATATAGACCACAGTAATAAAGTTGACTAAAGGTTCAGGGAAAGTAGTCTGAAACATCAAAGAGATTCAGTATGAATGCTGAAACCAACAAAGACACTCCGTATGAATTCTTCTAACCTGCCACGCCATACTTGAAGAAGACAGCAAGGTAAATCTTCTCCATATGCCTATCTTACCCTAGCAGTGAGAACTGTCAGGAATTCACAGTGAATTTCAAACCAAAATAGCTGAATTCAAAAACGTCTCTGAGTCAGTTCTCTTTTTCTATTTGACTATTTCGGCCTTAAACTTGAAATTCACTTTACCTTTGAATTCCAGCAATTCTCATGTTAGCGAATATCCCTGTAACTGTTTATTTATGAGCCTGAATAGAAACACAGATAAGTAGCAAAGACACTGAACTTAGCAACCCTTGCACAAAGGGGCTTAATTCACTGAATTATAGCAAATTTAAAAACACTAAATTGCAAAATGTATGCTTAAATGGCAGATGTGGGGAAATTATTTATTTAGTAGCTCTTATGTAATGTTTATTCAGAGTGCTTTACAAGTTAAAATCTTGCTTATTTTATAGTCACAAGGTATTTTAATCTAAATTTGAAAATTCTGTTTTTAGCTCACAATAATTCTGTGCTTAAAGGACCACTATAGGCACCCAGACCACTTCAGCTTAATGAAGTGGTCTGGGTGCCAGGTCCTTCTAGGGTTAACCCTGCCTGCTGTAAACATAGCAGTTTCTGAGAAACTGCTATGTTTACATTAGGGTTAATCCAGCCTCTAGTGGCTGTCTGATTGACAGCCGCTAGAGGCACTTCCGCGATTCTCACTGTGATTTTACCACATGACAGGAGGCTTCATATTTGCATATCTTTCTTTACTGAAAACTCCAGCAGTATAGAAACAGTAACAACCAATCAGAGAAAAGATATGGTGCCCATAAGAGGCCCTGTCTATGACATCGCTTCCTCTTTCTTTGCTGCTCCAGCCTACAACAGGTCAGAGTATTACCTCTCTGATGTATTTATATATTTTTACTCTACCTTCACTTTGTAACTAAATATCTATCCATCTACTGCTCCTTGCTCCCTTCCCTGTCCCCTTGTCTCCCCATATTCAGTGTGTTACTACCACTTTATCTGATTTTGGTTGGGCGGTCCGCGGGCGTCAGGGGACTGTGTGGGGATGGGTGGAGGGTGCCCGGGGCGGTTTTGCATTCTTCCGCCGTGTTTTTCTGCTTACTCGCGGCAGCGAGCGAGTAAGCCTGCTACACGCGGCTGGCGTCCATCTTGGATCTCGCGGCTCGCGAGACCCACGACTGCCGCCTTCCCCGCTCACGCGGCGGTTCTGGAATCACCCGATCACCGCTCCCTGCAGCTGCATTAACCCCTTCAGGGGTCCCCCTCTCTAGGCACTTTCGTTCTTGGTTGAAATAAAACATTTTCTTCTCTGCTGTGAATGCCACATGGATTTAACTCTCCCTTGGTGCCTTACACTGGATGATTATGTTGAGCATGCAAACAATTTAAATGTATTATGGTTCAGTCCATACAATACCACTATTACTATACAAACAATTACTGTGACATATACAGAATCAACTATCTCACTGTACCCTTCCAAGGGCATATTGCGTTACTGTACCCTACACAGGGCATATTATATTACATTATTGTACCCTACAGAGGGTCATATTATATTACTGTACCCGACGGTGCAAATTTATGTGGGTGTCCTCTGGGTATTTTTTCATGGCACACCACCTGGGGTGACCCCCCAGATATGCATGCAAGGTCACTGACAGACCATTACCTTTGATGTGGGTGTCCTCTGGGTTACCACGGCACACCACCCGGGGTGAACCCTGATCATATGCACGGAGGCCTACGCCTCAACTTTACCACTGATTACTACAAACATATATGGATGTTTAAACACTGCCTGTCAGTTTTACATTAAAGCAACAGTACCATGCCGGATACGATTTGACGGCAGGATCACTAAGGAAACTGAGGGTATTACGGTGTACCCTTCACAGGGATACATATATGTATATTTACTGTGCCTAGTGGACATATAGAACGTGGGTGTCCTCTGGGTAATTTTTCATGGCACACCACCTGGGGTGACCCCCAGATATGCATGCAATGCTTGTAAGGTGCTAATAATTATAATATGGGTGTCCTCTGGGTTACCATGACACACCACCTGGGATGAACCCAGCCGAATAGACATGGGTCCTGCGGCTGCAGACCTTATGGAGACAGGCCCCACGCGCCTATATAATAAGCCTGTATAGTTAAAAATCGTGCATACAGCTCTGGCGTACATTTGTGGTGACCACTACCAGTCAATCGCGCCTGCACCGCGGCTCTCAGTAGCCAGATTAAACTAATAGAGGTGACCCCTCTACACTTGGCACGAGTGTTCATACTCTCAGACAAACAGGCAATTCAAACCGTTATACCTGAGTGATCCCCAGTTCTACCAGGAGTCTTGCACCCCTACGTGCTGACCCTTACACACTACTCCCACTGTCTCCCATCAGGACAGGAACGAGTCATGATGGACACTCTCAACCTTCCCAAGATTTCTAGGAAATGATAAACGCCGCAGTAGCGGCCTCAGTGGAGAAGGTTCTCTTATGAGCTCTGCCCCACACCGCTTGATGGAGACCTCAGGCCCACAAGCCTTCAAGTCAAAACGGCAAGGGAAGGGCTCCAGCCCCCCTGCCACTAAGGTCAAGGGCAAGACGCCCATCGAACAGACCAAATAGGTGGAGCACCGGGAATCCAAACCCCATCCGCCACAATCTTCCGACAAAGAAGGCTATTACCCACCACGTACTTTGGACATGGTAGATGAGCGACACGAAGACAGCTCACCATCTGAGGAAGTGGAACGGCAAGACCTACCCCACACTTCCTCAAAGTACATTAGGGAAACCTTACTCTGTGACGGCGGCTGAGGCAGAGATAGCAGTAGTGGCACTAAACCAGAGTAGCTGAAGACGGAACGTTCCTGGACGAACACTATTGGCTGCGCAACCCTCAGGGATGGAAATATGCGCACGCCTCCAGACCGAATACCCCAGACCACTGCTACCAGACAAAGTGGCAGTTGCGTCCGAGCTCAACAACACTGTGGTAGTCTTCATTGCACGCTCGGGACGAAACCCCGCAATGGTGGGGAGTATGGCCTGAGGTCGACACGCGATAAAGTACTTGATTTACCAGGCTTGATTGCAAGATACTCTATTTTGCGGATCTGGCACTCAACCAGGGTACACAACTCAACCCTACCACCTACAGAGAATGGGCTCGATGCTCGATATGCCTCCTGGGCAATGCAAATGACGCACTATGCGCCGACAGACGCAAATCTGTACTGGTCCGCATCGACAACACACTATTGGACTTAGGAACGACAAGA